CAACTGATTTGAACCTGATAAGTGGTTAGCAAGCCATAATTGATTCCCTTTGTTACCATTTTTTCTCAATAACTTTTCAACTCCAGTCCACGCAATCTCCCACGGCTCTACCTTTTACTTGATTATATTTTATATGCATACACAAATGAAGCCAATGAACTGCATGCACCCTGGGGGTGGGGGGGGGGCTCGTGAGAACTGGAGTTGAGAAAAAAACTGATTTAGCCCAGAGGAATTCCCTTATAGCTGAGCTGTAGTGTCAGGCACGGTCGCTCGCACCTGTAATAGAAACACTTTAAAGGTAGGAATACTTAACCTGCCAGGCTGTGAGGTGGGCAGAAGGCGGGAGCACAGCGAGTGGGTTCATGAAACTGTCAGTGCAGAATTTTAAATGTTATTCCCCTCATGTCCTTGAGGTTTCTCCAATTTCCTGTCACACGCAAAACACTTGTTAAACATTCATTGGTCACAAAATACAATGTCGAAACTTTCTCAAAGAGAATATTAAGACTCCAGTGAATATTGAGACTTTCCTTGGTTAAGATCATTATTTTTATTTGAATACATGATGCAGACTTTTTGCATGTTTCCTGATATGTGTGACTGCCTTGCCTGGCAGCCTGGCATTAGACAGTGACGGAGATATTCTGGGATAAATAAATTACATCTTTATTGTTTGCCACCATGTAAAGACCCCCTCTTAAGGGAAATGAATTATCCAAACAAACGGGTAATTTATGTTCATATCTTTTATTTTACGGCAACCTTGGTCATGTCCTCACATTTCATGTATTGTCCAGGGTGATCTATTTATAGATACCCAACTGGTTTCTAATGGACCCCTTCTCAACAGGTCATCAAATACGATGAAAGTGGTGGCTCTATATCGTACAGAGCAGAGAGTTATACATTTTAAGAAGTGTATTATTGAAATTGATAGGAAATATGAAGAGGCATTCATGTATGTGTTTTATCTCTATAATGTCTACATGTTATTTAAGTGGGGGGGGTCTATACAAGGATCACCCTGTGTGTGTGTGTGTTTGTATCCACTTTTCCCTCCCTCCCAAATATAACAAGAACTGGGTGAGTTGAATGTAGTAAGAGGGCAATAAAGATACCGGGGAAGAAGGACGGGTTGGTGGGGGCAGGGAGCAGTTGGTTTAAGTCCAAGCACTAAATTACTTTCCCATTCCAATAATAAAGTTGCCTTCGTGATCCATATAACAGCCAAGTAAGATACCTGCTGCCACTAAATCGCCAACTAAGGCGATAAACAGAGCCACAGTGTGAAACGTTTGGACAAGGCACCATTGATTGTTCATCTTGATGTGTTGTTTTGGTTTTGCATGTTTTTGACCATTTTTACAATATTTACCGTAACCTGCAAGTTAATGGGGGAAAAAATCCCTCATTACAGTATCTGTGGTGGAATGGCGGTGCAGCGGTTAGCACACCAAATATTATTTCCACCAAGGGCTCGCATCAGTGGCGAGTGATAGCTGAGCCGGTTCTGGGCTCTCCCACCCCAACACACCCTGACCAGCATCGTGAAGAATGACCAAACAACCCCAATGTCCGATATGGCGTAGAGAGGCCTTCATCCAGCAGTGGGTTGCCAAAGGGTTGTAAATGTGTTATACTGTGACAATAATTAATTCACTGCTAGACGAGGCCCTTCCCACTCTCCGTGTTAACCATGGGGTTTGTTTGATTATATTTTGCCACGCTAGTCAGTGTGGGTTGCTGAAGTGGGAAAGGACCAGGATCTGTTCCTGTATCACTTGCCACTGATGTTAGCCTTGGCTAGGAATGGAACTCAAGGTGCTCAGGTTCACAGCACAGTGTGTTTAACCACTGCACCATCACTGTCCTCAGCCCCACACCTGCAGCGTTATAATTCTTTGTAAATTACTTGGAGTGAAGTTGCCACTCAACCCCGCAGGAAACTGGTCGGAGGAAACGTCTATGCGCAAATGCACAACGAGAAGGAGCAGGATGTGGCCACGCCAGGGGAGGTGGCCACCGTTATCCAAAACGAGGCACTGCACAACCAGGAGGAGTTCATTGACGATGATTTGGACTCACAGACACTAGGTACGCACAAGCACGCGACCTCGGAACACTCGCTCATTCACAAGATAGTGTCTCTAATTGCGTGAACTTTGTGCTGACCCCCCTGGGTCGTGCAGAGATTAATACACCGACTCTGAAATATTGACGCGCCTTTCAACCTTCCCTGCTCCGCTGAATTCTGCTGCCAATTCCCTCTGTCCTTTCCCCTCCCACCTTGTCCTCCTCATAAAAAAAAAAACCTCATAAAACTTCACGGCCGTTAATCCTGTGGCATTTCAAAAATGACAATAGATTTAAATGTCATAAGTTGGGTAATATTTACCGTTATTGATAGCATTTCTTAGCGTGTAACTCTTTGCCTTGTCTTTGGTGCGTGCGTCGCAGGAAACCACAGCACTCACGTCGTGCTAGGCCTTCACGCCAGGGAAGCAAACAGCTACGTGAGCAGCTAACAGCAAATAAACTCCAATCTCAGACCAATATGCCACGGTTTGTCCCTTTATCAGTGCGTTGTCTGAGCAACCCCCCCCCTGGTCCGCTTCACGTCCTCCGACACTGCTCCATCATAACTGCCGTCGCTCGGTAGACCAAAGAGAGAGAGGGAGAGTGCCCAGTGCTGCATGCTGCGCTTTAACGTGGACTTTCAACAGGAGTATGTGGAGTCTCAACCTTGCGTTGTGGCTGAGAGTACGTGCACTCTAGATTAAGGGTAATGACTGGTATTGCCAGAAATTTTTTTAAACATTTCTTTTGGGATCCTGTGGTTTTTTGAAATTATTAGTTGATATTCCCTAAAGTGTGTAGTTTTATCCAGTTACCCCTCAAATCATTAAATCGCTTTGAACAACAATACATAAAATTGGTTACTGAAGTCCCTAGAGTTTTATATCCATAAAACGTTTCACTAAATTGTAACCAAATAGTTACAGACAGCCTACGGCTTTTTCGAACGCTTGTAGGATGAGCTGTTAGGAATGAGAAGTTTGCAAAGTAGTACAGTAGAACTCCTCTCATTCACGTTGACATCGGGGATGAATATTGCAGATCGGATTTTCCGCAACGTTATCCAAACATTTATTATACTTATTTGCATTTTTTAAACTAAAAACCCACAGGCAATGGAATGAATTTGCCGCGTGACTCCTCTTATCTGCGTATGATCTGCGAACAAGAAACCTTTCCAAAATTCAGGATGTGAAAATCTGCGGATAATTTCGGAATATAGCAATACAGTACCTGTAATGGGGTCACATATAAGAGGAGTTTTTGTGGAGTCTACATCTCTCGTGGATAATAGGAGTGCCAGATAATAAGCCTCGCGGGAATAAGAGAAGTTTTACCATGTACACATACATATAAGGGCCTTAGTAATGCAAGAAATGAATTGGTGGAAAAATGCTTCTGTCAAAGCTCTCTGTAGAGGAAGTCATCAGCCCCAGCCTTGCGCTTGTTCACGTTACCATCAGTGGTGTTTCAGACATGTATATGTTATAAAGATTTGTGAACCAAAATATTGTATGCGGTATGTAATGAACATAAGTTAAAGTTTTTGAATGCTTCAGCATTGAGCCTGTATACATTTCTCATGGGTTTTGTAAAGCACAGTATATTCTAATATATGCTTGTGGTAATCCTTCGATGAGAGTTGGCATGTATAGAAAAATATATGTTATTTTAAGCAACAGAAGGACGTTTGCTAACAGTATGCGTGATCGATGTGGCGTTAATTTAAGAAACATTAAATGTGGCACAATGTATAAAATATAACTATTTATTTGCATTTCTAACTATCAAATTAAGTGTTGAGCACACAATGTGCTTTTAGTGGCATGCTTTACCATTACATGCTGCCTTTTCATAAGATTTGTTACCATGAATACTTACCAATGCTTGTAGTATATGACTATATGAGTAACCTTGTGTTTTCTGTGCTGTTAATGCCTCGTGGAGATCTTTGGTTTCGACAGAGTAATACCCATTTTAATTTATTTACAGTAAATACCTTTTGTGTATATTCCCGTTTGCATTCAGTGTGCATTTTTATGGCATCGTGTGGGAATCATTTTTTGCGTGTGACAATTTTGCAAGGTGTTGAAGAGAGAGAGAGCCGTTTGTGTGTGCGATCGTTTCATATGCCTGATCTACAAAGGGCTGCACCTTCTTGTCATTCCAACGCACACCTTACCTTCCGAGCTGACGTATTTATGAAACACAAAATTCATTGAACCCTGATCCTGACTCATCCGTTGTGTGATAGGCACTGGATCGTAAAGCTTCACCATCCTGCTGAGGAAATATTAAACTGACCATTCGGGTTTGGGCGAACGTAATAAAGCGCCTCACAATACGCCCACAAAATTATACCGTTGATTTGCACCGTGGCAATTCACAACCCCCAGTAGCTGTCTTGTGTGTGATAATATCACATGCCGATTTTCGCTCGTATTTACACGTAGCTACCCCATTAAGCTGCGTGGACATTGTCGGCAATGATTTCGGATTTCTCCAGGATAAAAAAAAATTCAGATTCTGCGGCTATGCTCGATGTAAAAGGATGCTCTGAATAAAAGCCTGTTTTCATGATATGACAGCACCTCTTTCGTAGCATCTGCCGCATTTTCCCAGTGAATGAATTGGGAAAAAAAATCGAAGGAACATTCAACAGGGCAGCAATTTTAAAAGTGGGGTATCGGGATGTTAACCTTAATGATTCTGCTCACAAGATATATTTTGTGCTCTTCAGTAGCCTATATTTTAACTTCTTAAATTAGCCTGTGGTGTTGAAAAAGGGGTTAAACGTATAAATAAGTAATTGCTCTACAATCTAATCACTATAGTTGAAACTGTTTTATGGTGTCTTTTTGAGACATTAACCTTCTCGTGCTTCAGCTACTGAATTCATTTTCTAGAATTTATGGTGTAACATGACCAAATGGTTTCTGGACGATCATATACCATCTGTCTTCACCGTGGGAGAGACGTAATGGGCGTGTTTCAAGCCTAACCCAATGTTAGGTGTGGTCAATTTATCCAGTATGGTCTCTTTTTGAAAAAAGAAAATATTGGGTTGTCCTAAATATCTGACATTTGACAGCAGCTTTGCTGGTCATATGTCCTTAGACAGCATATTGTGAGCTGCTATTTATACTATATGACTAAAGGATTTTTACATTACTTTTTAAGCTGCAGGCTGTACGCTAAGAAGTGTGACAGCATATAAACGGGCTGTACAGCCACGTATTGACAAGGTGTCAAGCTGCCACAGTTTAATACAACTGAGAATTGCTGTTTAAATCTCATACTGTTTGCAGGGGGTCAAAAGAAAGATCTTGATTCATTGTGCGCTCAGTCCATCATTTTCTCATTAGACGTGTGCAGCAGTGCACATACGTCTCCTGGTAGGGGGCAATCTATAACAAGTTTGGGGGCAATTCTTCTAAACAAGTTAACTTGCAGTTGTGTAAGTGCATTTTTTGACCAGGTCGCCAGTATTCCAGATGAGCCAACAAGTCAGGAGGCAAATGATCACCAAGCTGTGCTTGCGCTACCGAAGAAGATATGTTCGTCTAAATTTTTGCTCAAAAGTATATTTTGCAATATATTTTCTTGGTTCTTTCGGTAAAGTCACGTAGAAGGGAAATAATAAAATAATAAAAATAAAACATCAGAAAATAATTCTCACGACGTTTCGGCCACAACGCAAGCAGCCGTCCTCAGGTGAAGCACAGGTCTGTCGGAAAGACAGTGTCTGAATGAACACCACCAGGCTTGGCAGCGTATATTTAAGCTGGGTTGGAGGGGGAAGTTGCTTGCGTTGTGGCCGAAACGTCGTGAGAATGATTTTATTATGTTTTATTTTTATTATTTTATTATTTCCCTTTTACGTGACTTTACCGAAAGAACCAAGAAGATGAATCCCTGCAGTCACGAAAGCTTTAAATCGAAATATATTGCAATATATTACATGCAAAACAAGATCATATAGAACGTGTCTTTTTTCATAGGTAAGTGTAATCGATTGCTTTCTTTCTGGTTGTCCAGTTGTATCATTTTCTAGTTTAATCATAAAATAGGAAATAACTTGAGTATCGGAGCCTCAGCATGTGCCGTTTCTTGTTTGTTATCAGGGTATGTGTACGCATTTTGCAAATAACGATAACAACTGGAAAGAGAGTCTCCATTTCCTTTGTAACCCCCAAACCATATTGTGGTGTTAAGCCTGAAACCAACAAAACGTGTGCACGTTTTTGGTAAGCTGATAACAAAAACAAACATTTACACATGTAGAACCACTGTGAAGTGCACACTATGATTTTGGAATCGCTTCTAATACGGAGTTTCATTTATTGTTATTTTCTCCTTAAATCGCCTCTCCACCCAACAGCTTAAAATGGTGCACTACAAACATGTTTACTCGTGTTCTATGTGAAGCTAAAATTACACACAACGGTTCTTCTGAATAAATATTTGACACAGCAGACTGAAAATTTAGTTACCAAACAATAAAATTGGCGCTATTGAACAGGATATATGTACCATGTGTCCCGAATGCTTATGCTGTAAAACATGTGATCATATCCGTTTCATTTTGCAAACGCGCTATAATTGCTGTACATCAGGAGCCAATTTCAAATCAACTCGCTGAAAGTTACAGCAACTATGTGACAAGTGGAACACTTGCATCAACAACGTGACTGAGGGTTTTGTTCATATGCACTTTTCATTCGAAGAAAAGTCAGTCCCGAATTGTTGTTTCCCATCTGATTACCCACATTACCAACAAAAAAAGCCATAAAACCATAAAGCTGAGGTTGGAGGGGGGGAAATTTCCTGCCGATAAAAAAATCACCCAGCTCTCGAGCAATCCTGGGAGGACCCGGAGGTTTTTAACAAAAATAAACGCGAGCTGACAAGCACTCGACTACACAGCAACTCCGGGTGAGTTCATACTTTTGATCATTCTCACACGGATTGTTGCTTCTGTTGTCATTTATAGATGAAAAATTATGGCTTTGAACAAATTTCGTTTCGCTTTCATGTGTTAAAATATGAAACTGTAAAAAATTACGAATGTTTAACATGCTCTACAGAATTGCAATATCAACACGTGTACGCTAAACACAATAGTTATGATGTATAGGTATTTAATTTATGTCATTTTTTTATACGCACGAATAAAAGCAGCACCACCACACATTCTGAACTTAGCTTTGGCCTTCACAGACTAACCAAATGTCTAATAATAGTGCCTAAATTATCAATACGGGGCAAATTATACATTCATAATGCATACAAATGTATGTAAATGTAGTATGTACGTTATCTTTGTGTAGTACAATCAGGAAAATAATTACGTTGCAATTCTACGTGCGCTTCTGCGGCCATCTGGAATTTGAAAGAAGTTCAACATACAGTACATATATTCATGCGGGATGCTGCTGTATAGTGGTCAGCTCGCTTGACTTGCAATCCAAAGGTCGCCGGTAAGATCTCCCGGTGCAGGGTAAAAAGTGGGGCATGTTTTTGAATCCCCCCCCCCAACCTCCGTCCACCCAGCAGTATAAATGGGTACACCACAGAGAGTTGATTGGCTTGTGGTGGGGTAAAGTGTGGGTATTCCTACCTATTCCAAGACGTCTGGCCAGCATGCAAGAGTATGTCAACAATTCTCTCTAGAGAGCTTCTCTAGGGATCCCTCTAATGGAGGCCATTTTGCCAGTAGTGTCGTTGGCGAGACAAATGATGGCTGCACCTTTAATCTTTACCTTAGCATCTATATGCTGCAGTTGTCCCATTGTTTTCCAAAATCCCCAAAGCTTGACCATGGCTCATGATGATGATGCTCGGGAAAATAAGATAAACTTTCTGAAAAGACAACCATTGATGTTACAGTACTTGCATACAGTATTGCGGAAATATCAACCCGAAGTTTCATTTGTAATTTCCTTGTGGTTTAATGTTTTGCTACGATTAGAATATGTCTTGGCACTAAAGTCGGATATTAACCTTTCAGCTAATTGCATGTTTTTGTTATGTTTTTTTTTCTGCGTGGCCTGCTGATAGCTCATTTCACGGTGTGAGGTTGACAATGGCAAAATGTTTGGGAGAAAAAATCATTTGCGAAGGATATTTGAGAAAGTCTCCTCCTCCGAATAAAATTGTCTTCAAAATATCGGTGAGCAACTTGTTGGCTGGGTTATCAAAGTGACTCGGCTCCCCAAGACAAGCTACGTCTGTTGACGCAAATGATTACTTTGAGTTATGGACACCGCGTTTAATAATTTTGTATCAAACTGGGAACCCCCTATCATGAGGGGAGATTGCTTGCCTGCAATATATTGGCAGTTCACCAGCATTGATTCAAGCAAGCCTGACTACTGATGAGATACTCTATGTCGAAACCAGTCCAGAGTTCGCTTGTGAAGAAACATTGCTGCTGAAACGATGTACTCCCAGAATGTCATGCCACTGCTGGGTTGTATAAATAATACTTTCATATGTTTATGTGCACAGACAGATATATGAAGGATACAATTTGTCTAATTATTTATTTCATACTTGCGGAGTATGGATTGGGAGCAAAGGTTAACTTCATCAGATGGAGAATTATGAACCCAGAGACCTGAGTTTTATTCCCAGCCATGGATGATTTCAGTTGGGAATGATATCTGAACCGATGCTACCCCTCTCCACCAGCACTAACCAGTGTAGTGAAGTAATGATGGGGGGGGGGGGGGAAATCTCCCATGACTGACATGGCCTTCATCCAGCAGTGTATTGACATGGCTGTACAGTATAATTTATTATTGCCCATATGCTTGACAAGAACAGTTAAGTATACACAGTCCTCGACATATGAACATCCGACAAGCAAACACCCGCGATTACTAAGCAGCTTCCATGAAATTTTTTCAACATTGACTTAAAACGCGAACTATCATTTGCAAATTGAACCGCGGCAATAATGTGTTCAGCTGAGCGATCCTCCGCGAGATGCAATGAAACAGCCTCGTGCTGGGAGGGAGTGTTTCTGTGTGTGGACATTTAAATATACTTTAGACTACTGTCTTCCGGCTTACGAACCGTTCGACTTACAAACGGGTCTCAGGAATGAATTGCTTTCCTAATTCGAGGGCTGCCAGTTAAATATTTCCTTTTTACGTATTAAACATCGACATACTTGTTTTTCCATCGGTATGTTATGACTGTTTTGCAATGAACTATTTCATTTCTGCCCCTTAGAGATGCTGTCAAATGTCAATGCTCAACAAGAGAGATACTTGTTGCAGTATTTTTCAGTTCGATTATTACTGAAGCTGTAATACCCATAATACTACACGGCCGTCTGCTTTATGGTGGACGTTGAAGGTCCCCTGACGTCATTCGCAAGAGCAGGCCATTTGTGTGCCAGAGTGAGGGTCCACATTTTTTCCCGAATTCGGAAATTACCTGCACCTTACTCTATTAGGATTTTTCATAACATTCATCGCCCTCTACTGGCATACTAACGCCTGCTTGCAGTCCAGGTGCTGCACATGGACAGCTAGCACTGTGGGTGCTGTTTAATATATGAGACGTGATTTAAAGTGTTTTGAGTTGTCCTGGTGTTTAGGGCGCTATACAAAAGACGATGAAAATTTTTAATATTTAATCTGTATTTGATCATAAGTATTTCCAAGTTCAAATAATGGTTTTAAATATATGGAATGCGATATAAAATAATGTACTTTTGGTAAAGTTTAGATAACAAAGTTTAGATAACACCTCTTTCAACTCTTTCTAATAACTAAATTGTCATTTACTATTTGGTATAGAAATCATTTTAGATGTATGTTCTTTCTCTGTGCATGCAGATCTCCTGGAAGAAACGTTACTGTGTTCTTTTTCAAAATGAGCAAGGCAGTTACAGCTTTAAATATTACAAAGACGAAAAGGAATTCAAGGAAGGAAAGCCTCTTCTTGGGGAATTTAAAATAGGAACGTAAGCAAATAGCATCAGTTGTATTGGCACATCCATGTTATATTTATGTTTACCATATTATCTTGATTATAATTAGACACACTTCTCCTCCACCCCCCCCCCCTTATTTTTTAAAGCAAGAGTTGGGGGTGCCTCTTAGAATCCACTCAGTGTGTGTCCTGTGTTGTATAACTCGATTGACTCTCGGCACAATTTTAGGATCTGTCTACTTGCCGGAGAATTTTATAATCCGGAGAAAATGGTCAGGACGTTGCTGTGTAAAATAGTTGTTTTTTATTGTGTTAGCAATGAAACCTGGACATTATATGTTTTTTTATGTAATGACATTTGGGTGTATTTCAGATGTACCAATTAACAGAAACGTTGCCCCACTTTATTGACATCGCTTCTCTGCTATTTTCAGTCTGCAGGAGCTGACAGATAACCCTGAAGTCAGTGATGTATGGCCCATTGTGCCAAGCGTGATCATGCACAGAACAGAATCCGTTATATATTTTAAAACAGAAAGCCGTGAGCTCTTCCTCTTCGCCGAAGATAGGTAGGCCAAAGTATTCTACACAACTCGTCGTGCAGTCCATTTGCAGTTGCTTCCAGGTTGTGAATAGAGATGAACCTTGCTTGATTCATAATTGATATTTGGGTTAGGCCACCTAATGATATGGGCAAGTTGGTGTCGTCAAAACTCTCCACAACCCAACAAGTTAACTCGTCACATGTTGTATAAATGTTTAACCAAACGCCAATTGTTTTGTTTCATCATAGGGTAAGTTGAAGAACAATTCCCACAACGAAATTTATTTTAAACAACCCAAAAATATATTATGAATTGTATCATTGGCTATTAAAAACTATGTGTAAAGTGGCGAACCTTCAAGATTAAGATGTCACCAAGATGTCAGCATGGCCAAAGTTGATGATACCACCACAACGCTTTCCACCCTCTGGTAGATTCCACAGTTGTTGCACAGCAGATATGCAACCTCCAAGATGTGCCCTAACAGTATACTACCATCTGGCCTTAGGTCTTCCCTTGGATGTCGAACTGATGGAGATAATTCCAATGTGTGTCTCGGAAATTGGCCCTCCCCCATGCTGCTCTCTTGAAAAAGGTTTGCAATGAACCTTGGTGAGATTAAAATTGAGCTTTATCGATATTGTCGCTGTGGTGGCAAGATGTTATCTCTGTCGCCTGGTATGGAGGAGGTCATGGGTTCGATCCAGACCCTGACGCCTGTATATTTGGAGTTTGCATGTTCTCCCCATGGTTGCGTAGATTTGTATCCGAGTCCTCCGGTTTTTCCCTTCACATTTAGAAACATGCGTTTAGATTAATTGGCTGCTATACATTTCCACACGATAAGCCACTTCGTTGAGCTATCATTTGTAGCCAGGTCGCTTCTGAAAAAGAGCTATACAGCTCAGTGGGCTTTACCTGACAAATAAAATAGTTTAGTAATATATTAGCAGCATAGTGATTCATACATATTTCATTGCATAATATTGATTGTGTAGCAGACGGTGCATGCTTCTAATCACAAGTGGAAGAAAGTGATATGTTTCAATTCGGATATTGTCCAATCGGTTCTCATTGCCCAAGCAGCCACTAGAGGCGCTGTTATTCACTGTAATGTATTTATAAAATATATATATATATAATTAATGAAATGGTTACCCTGAATCGTGAAAACGTATTGCAATTACTAAATCATTTAGGGGTGAATTGTTCCACCTCTATTATAAATAGGAAACATAACAGAATTAACATTCTACACGTGATTTACATATTACATTAGTATTTTTAAATTGTCATAAATGTAACTTTTGTTAAGAAATATACTGCATCTGTTCACTTGTGCAATGTTTCTACATTATGTTTTATGATCAGAGAGGAAACAAAAAAGTGGTACTTGGAACTAGAGAAAATTAAAATGTCAAAGGTAAGTAATGATACCATGTCGGATGTTTATATTTTTATTACCGCATTAAGTTAGCTACTTATGAAATTACATGTTGAATGCCGATCTCCAAATATTTGTAAATTACTAATTGGATTATTATAATTATTTGATTTTCATAAAAAAGCAAACCTAAATCTCAAGCTATTATCTTTTTCTCATCTGCTAACAAGAGGCAAAATGGCTATGTACGTTACAGTCATGTGAGAGATGGAATGAACAAATGATTAATAAAGGTCCAAGGCTGGAGGACGTTTTAACAATTCTGGTAACTGCCTGATGATGCTGGTTGTAATTACCAGCGAAACATTGCACCCAATTGCTGTTGAATGTTTGGATTGCTCCCCAACATACCGGTGTGCTGAAGCAGTAATACATTGGCACATTTGTTCACGTGACATCTTTATTAAGTGGCTGCATAGGGTGGAGGAGGGTGTACGACACACACTTTACTTACACGATCTGACCCAAAAATTAAATGAATCATAGCATTGGTCGTGAAACATATTGTACTTTTCCACACTGGTCAGTGGGGGAGATAGCTGGTGAGGGTGGGTGGCATAGACGTTGAAGCATCAAAGTAAAGAACAGGTTTCCCTCGCTTAATCCGGATTCAGTCACACGTGGGACAACATTGTGGGTACTGTTTGCGCGACTCGGCGGCAGCTGTCTCGTGTGTTTTCACTTTGTGCGCCCTTTTTTGGAGCCGCATAAAGCGAGGAAAATCTGCAACAATAAATTTTGCTGAACTACCCTCTGCTCTCTGCTGACACTGTAACCTCACAGCAGCCCACCACCACACCTGTATTGTTCATGGATGTCACCCACCCAAGCACTATGCAGGCTCAATGCCTACTTCGCATCAGAGATCTGAAGAGAGTGGTTCCAGGTAATTTGATCATAAGCGTAAACTGTTATATATATGCAGTATATTGTAACGTATACGACACGTATATTTTCACAGAGTGAATACGAGTGCAGGATTGTGAGACCAAGTCCACTGAAGCGCGTCAACACACAGATAGAGAATAACCCACAGAAGACTTGCCTTCACAAGACCGTTTCATGCCCGCCGTGTCTCAAAGGAGGGTTCTGCTCGTGTCAGGAGCAGCTCACGGTGCCTCTGTCCAGCGAAAATGTAAGGAACTATGAGCAGACATAATATAGGTCAAGGTAAATGTGGAATGGCTTTCACGAGAAGAAGCTTGACAGAGCCCCCTCTCGAGGGTATACAGAATGGGCTTACTCTTCCACAATGGTCGTTCACTCACTGTGGCGTACCCGGTTATACAACTGGGTCGGCAGAAGAGCGGATTATTTAAGAATATTGCGAACGTTCAATTTCCATGCCATGAGCTTGAGCCAGTCACCGCGACATTCGACACAATATAAGACTTTGCAAAAATATTTTGTGAATCGGATTGATAATTATTAAATGTTGATATTATTATGTACAATGTATAATTGTTTTGTTGATATATGTTACAAATATTAATTATTTAATTTGTTGTATGATGTTCACATATGTCAAAGGGTCCAAGCATCCACAATGGACCAATGGAGCTCATCACATTGAATGTCCCAGAGGCCAGACCATGTTCTGATCACTGCTGTAGACAGACCGAGAGCACGACGGTCGCACAGCAAGAGACGGGTTTCCTGCATTCGGCTTGCGACATGCAAGACATTGATCCACGATCATATCCAGTGAATATCAGGGATGATAAACTACTAACGGGAATGTTCTCAGACGCTTTAAATCGCAAGTTAAGGTATAATGGGACTTTTTTTGCCAGTATCAAAGTTTGAAGAAATAATAATAAGTTTTACCCTTTCTCGCAATAAAACAGGTGTTTAGATGTTTGATTCCTTGCAAAAGGTTTATATTTGGTGGTTTAACATCTTAACACCTGTTATATTGCCACAAAGGGTAAAATCTATTCTACTTTTTTACACGCTTTCTTTTAACTCACTCTGTTGTTGCTGTCGTTGTTGTATCCTCAAATCTTGTAACTCACTTTTAACCCACTTCCCAATGTGGTATCGACTGCAAACTTGGTATAATTATGTCATACTGATGACACTACTATATTCTATCATTAAAAAAAATGTAACATTTTTTTTTATATGTTATGTTTCGGCTTGGGTCTAATTGTCCACGCTCAACTGACGTTGGCTGTAAATCACCACGGTTCGTTATGGCAAGCTTCGGGGCCACTTCCTGGAGTTGTGGAGTTCTGCCATTACTAGTACATTTAATAAAAGCGTGTTTTTAAAACAGTTTTTTTTTTATATTACTTATCTATACTGAGGTATAATGCTTTTAAAAAAATCAGTATGAAGTTATTAAACACGCTGACGTAGTGTGGTTGGCATGGTCCATTGTGCAGAGAATTAAAATGACCCTGCCCCCCGCCTTCTTTGTAGCCTGGGGCCTGAGCACTCCAATCCGTGGGCCTCAGTGCAGTTGCAATGTCTGCACAACACTCGATAGCTAACCAACTGTGGGCACATCTCACCTTGTGGCACAAGCGTGGGTTCTACGTCTTCTGCGTGGATTACCATGGGTGGTGACATGGCCAAGTAGCGGCGCGTTCGCCGCTTCTTGCAGAGGTTCATGGCTCGAATCCAACGGCCGCCCTGGTTATTACTGCGGTGTGTATTCACTATATAAATACGCACCGTCGACTTCATGGTGAACGTTACAGATCCCATGACATAATTCGCAAAAGTAGGCTTTTGTGTGCTGGCGCCATGGTCCAAATTTGCTGATAAAAAAAAAATACTTGGAAATTATTAATTTGGGATTATATATCGTAAAAAATTGTGATAAGACTCAGTGAGGATTTCCTGGGTAAACAAGATTAATATATATACAATTTGCAATAAAAAATATAGATGTTGCAAAACATGACCAATGTTCTTCCTGTATGAAATGTGGCATCACTGTTACAGAAATCTGGAATCTGAAAAAGACATGAAAGAGGTTTCAAAGTGTATCACTCTACAAGATGTAGAAAAAATTGCATTTGTTAAATTCCAGGAACAAATATGGTAAGTACTGCCATGAGAGAGCATAGTTCTACATGCTACTTTCATAATTTAAGGAATATAACACTTAATACATGATAGTGCATACGAGAAAGTGTATGGGAAAGAGTTTACAATCTTACTGTGTAGGTTTCCATCCCTGTGGTGTGTTTTCCTGTTGCGTTGTTCGGCATTATATCACACAATTCACTCCATATCTTGGGAACTTCTTCCTGAACAACCTGTTGTGCAGCCCGAAAACGCATCACAGAACTGTCAATCCGATTAAGAAGACGCATCCAACCGGCCACACTGACCTTTTCTGACCGAATACGATTGGATGCAGTGTTGCTGGCTGGAAGGTGGACCCAGGTTCGGAATTGAGTGAAATCCTGCACATAGGGGACTGGGTCATCACCGTGGGTGAAATGAAACCTCGCGACCCCGAGGATATTTTATTCTTTGCAAACCGCTACGCCAAAAATAAGGTAAATGTTGACTATTGGTATCGCTTTGCACAATGGTGCTGAACAGCTCTCCGATGTTTTTGCAGCTTGTAGCGCGTGTTGTTCGGCACGATGCCTTATGTTTCTCTCTATGTGCTGGAAGCTCCTTCAGTAACTAAATTCATTTCCTGAAGAAGCTCCCCACGCATGGAGAGAAGTATCACGCCGAAGAACACGCGGTGCCACCTGAAACACACCAGAAGGCGAAACGGCACAATGCTATTGCATATTGAAATGTGTTCGTTTCCATTTAGGTTACAGTACATATAGTCACATCATACTCTGGCCAAAACTTTTGGTAAGGCTTGCTTAAAGAGCCTTTTCTTCTTATCTTAATATGGTGCCCATGGGAGTGGTGGTACAGTGGTTAGCAAACAGTTCCATTAATCTGGCTACATGAGTTCTATTCTTAGCCACAGCTAACATCAGTAGTGAGTGATTTACAAAATGGTGCTTGCCTACCACTCCTCCTTCACCAACCTGTACTGACCAGTGTGGTGAACTATGATCAAACAATCTCCTGTGATTGACACAGACAGGGCAGGCCATCTTCTAGCAGTGAATTAATAGACGTGGCAGCAAGGGTAGCAACTGCTGCCCTTGCTGCCATTGCGTGCGTTGCCAGGGCGACCACGGGGGTCGTGATCCTCGATTCAAACATCAACCGGCAAACGAAGTGCCCAATGTGCAGGGGTGCGGGCATCTAGATGACAAATCTGTCCAAAGAACGTCGTCCGCCTCCTAATAGACACGCTCAATGAATTGACCTATTTCATTCGCTGCCTGTGCGATGCAAGATATATATTTAGAGTTTTGTCACGTATATATAAAGATATTTGAACAGTTTATAAGGGAAATGCCATTATTTTTTGGATGCATACATTTTTCAAATTTTGTAACATTCTACAATATTGCATAACATGTTTTTAACCATTAAAGGTAAAAGTAGCCCTGTAGATCATTGAAATTTATCAGCCAAAACCTTTGCCCGTTAATAATTGGAGAACCAATTAGGAAATATGTATATGTATACTGTAGTAAATTTACATCTCATGCAGTATGCATGGTGGTCAAGATGTTTTCATGAGACAAACATTGGCTCAACCTAACATATGCATATTTTGGGTACATTATGTATAGAATACATCTCATTGTATGCCGGTTTCATCAAATCTAATTGTATTAAAATAATATTGGATGAGACTGCATATTTTAATATCATTTTCTCAGAATATTTTCACTACTTCTGATTGGATGATATACATATTCACATGCACGCATTCATATAGTGTATTGGAAAGTTGGTGTCTGTGTGGTATTTTTATTCTAGATTTGAAGCTTTCGTGACTGCAAGGAATTTAAATCACGACGTTTAATTTATTTGTTTTCCTTTTTTAACCTACGTGACTTTACCGAAAAAACCAAAGAGGAGGGTATTTTTACGTTGAGGATGTTTGCATATATGCCGTTGGCATAGTACTAACACACTTCTGTGTATAGATTCCGATCACCTTTGCTCGTCTCCCGCAAGGAAAATTGCTATTTGCCATCAAAACTGAAAACGAAGACTGGGGGATAGAGACCGAAGGACCTGTGGTATGTCACGCCTTCACATATTTTTGCACACAGCGTTGGTGTACGGTGCTCTTCTGCAATATTGTGCTGTCTTTTCTTGGATTTTCTGTTTGCACTTAGTCACATAGTCACTTTAAGATGGTTTCTTGTTCATGTTTTTGTTTTTTGTTTGTTGCGGTTGCACCCGATTCAAGAACCGAATGGCTCACAGGGCGATACCTAATAAATGAACTTGAACTTGTATAAACACCCATTAATGGAGTTGGCCATACATCCCAATTTAGGACCACAGAGTTTGGGAAATTGTTTTCAGCTCATTAGAGCTGCCTCCCAACTTATCTGTGCATTCCCACATTTGCGGAATCTGCGCCATGTTACAAATTCTACTGATTTTAGGAGATTCATTTATTATGTTCGCAGTGCTATTGCATTTCTACACACTACACCCGACTAAGTTTATACAGCGATGGGAAAATATCGAAGTGTGTTTGGAAAAAAGGGATTATATATTTTTTCTTTTCAGATCAAGCACATAAAACCTCGTTCAGTGATAGCACAACATGGATTAAATCTACCAATATGCATCACGGACCAGAAAACAGTGCCTTGGCAAATAACGGAGATTAACTTCCACTCTGTCAGTCTTGTTTCTGCTGATAAACATTCCACTCAGGTAAGCCATTCACTCCCAAATAGATGCATAAGCACATCATGCATAAAAACAAAAAATCTAACAAAAACATTGTAATATTTACGATTAATTTATCGTCGTATTTTCGTAAAAGTAAAACCTAAATTCACTCTGGCAAATGTCTCTCATGATGGCATCTTTACATCGCTATAAAATAGTACAGTTGATTTAATTCAAGTTCATCGCCAGTGGTTTTTGCGATTTCCACAAAAAATGCAGAATTTGCTGTTTATTGCTTATGATCTTTGCAGCGTGTTGGGTGCCTCCTGAACAAATGTACCACCAAACTGTTGCTAGTGCTGCAGCCGAAGGACTATATTCAAGGGCTTGTGAGCGAGGTTGAAAAAATGTACCCCCAAAAGGAGTACGATACCGATATGCACTAACATTTATTGTTTCCCAGTCTCGTACTGCGCGATTCACGTATGTGTAGAGGCAAGGATATGAATCTTGCGTGCAAACTAAAAACGGATTCAGTCTTGTATTTAAAACAAGGTATTAACAAATCACAGCCTAAACAAATGGAGCTAATAAAATATAAGCCTCTCAGTCCCAAATGGACATATGCACACTCAAAGTGAGGAGTGACATTAAAGATAGAATGTTATTGTCTGGTATGCATGTACTCGTTGTTTAAAATATTTTTTGTAAGCTGTTTTTTTGTTTTATAATGCAACTTTTTAAATCATTTAGCACCTCCTTTAACCAACTTGTGCCTAGCATTTTTAAAAGCTATATTTCCTGTCTATGTAAACGTGTTTATTATTACACTGGTTTGTGGTAAAGAAAACAGTTGTTACTATTTGTGGAAATATTTTCTTATTATGTAATGTTAAAGCAGCACATGCCATTGTTAACTCTGTTCTGTATATTCAGGGTGGGCCAAAAGTCAGGACACGTGGTTATTTTATTTGAACACAAGCATTAAAATGTTTATTTATGATTTAAGTTAATATTTGATCTATTATTAATATTTTTTCTTCTTTTTTTAAGGCATCATCTCAAATCCATCGTTTAAAAAATACTCGACCGAAAACCCTGAATGAATTGCTGAATGTTCAAAGATTACACCTGTAATCTTAAATAATGCCTAAATTCATTTCGAAAGATAATTCATGCATGCATTAACATTAATGGAAGTCAGTTTGAACATGTTAAAATAAATAAAATTACCCTTTGTGATTTGTTAAAATAAATATAACCCGTGTCTTGACTTTTGGGCCAACCTGTCTTATTATAAGTGAGGTATCTTTATTGCCAATTCAATAAAATTTTCTTGTACATTTTTTGCTTTTTCAATTATTTGTTCACTTCAGTTTTCTACCGATTACCAAAAATAATCAAAATTCAAAGCAGCATCTGGAATTAGCCACGGCATTACCAGTCGGCTTACACTGTTGTCACGTCGATGGTAAAAATGTAGTGGTAAAATTAGAATATTCAAAGCAAATAATGTTACAACTTGTTGTTTTCGCAAAAAAAAAAATCGGAAATTGAAATATTAGTGTAATACTCTTTGGTTCTTTCGGTAAAGTCACGTAGGCTGAAAAATTAAAACAAATCACGACGTTTCGATTGCAACACGAGCAATCCTCATTCAGGTGGAACAACCACAGCAAGAAAAAATGCTGAAGTAGGCGAGAGAGCTGCCGTGGCAAGAGGTTATATAGGTAAGAAAGGGGGGAGGAGCAAGGGGGGAAAGGAAGGGGGGGGGGGCTGCGTGAGCGATAGGGGGAGAAGAAGTGAGGCTGGGAGGGGGGGAGTAGGCGGGGCTAGAAATGGGAAGCTGGGGACACGGGGTAAAAGTCACTCGGAAAAAATGTATCCGTAAAAACAAAGTTTTTCACTATAAATCCTTTATATGCGTGGCGGCAAGAGTCCTCTCGTCCTCTGGCTTGAGATGGCTGCCACCTATGGGTCAGATGATTGCCTGCCACCATTAAGCAATTGGTAATTAAATATAAAAAAAAAATCCTAAAAAGTGTAAAATTTTTGAAAAAAATTTTCACGAAAAGAAATTGTCACGCACAACGAGTCTGTGTGCAAAATGTCAGCTCGATTGGATCACGGGAAGTGGGTTAAAAAACAACCGAAAGATTTGCACGGTCTTAAGCGCGCAAGCAAGCAAGTGAACTTAATATAAAGGATTTAAAAATAGACTAGTACCCGGCAGGTATGATGGAAACAACCACAACCAGTTAAAGCTTTACCTGGTTAATAACATCCTTCCAATGATTCTTCAATTTGTATCCATCTTCTCGGTTGAAGTTATGTCTACGTTTATATATCTGGATGGCTTCATGACCAAAACTTTGATAGTTGCCCGAAGGTTTGCAGAGTACCTTGGTCTCGGAAAAAACAATATCATGAGAGCCCACAGCGTTATAACAATGGTCAGCCACGGCAGAGGTGTTGGTTCTGCCGTGTTTCTTGCTGTGGTTATTCCACTTGATGAGGATTGCTTGTGTTGCGATCGAAACGTCGTGATTTGTTTTATTTTATTTCTACCTACGTGACTTTACCGAAAGAACCAAAGAGTATGGATTCCTGCAGTCACGGAAGCGTCAAATCAAGATTAGTGTAATATTTTGAATAGTACTGTGCTGTGTGCATCAGGAACAGCTGAAATAAAATAATGGGCATGATTTGTGACAAATAATGATTCGCTTTATAGGATAGTTTAGCAAGTCTAATCTCGAGAATTAAAAAAATATATATATTAGGTTAGGTAAATCACGTAACATTTACCATTATTTTTTAAATATTGTATTACATATGGGGGTGGAGTGGAGATGCAGTGGTTAGCACACTGCACGATGAGCCTCGAGATCTAAGTTGTATTCCTGGCCATCAGTGGCAAGTGAAATCTGAACCGATTCTTGACCCCCCACCCCACATTAGCCAGTGTGTGTTGAAGGATGGGCAAACACAATCCATGACCTACACTATGGGAATGCCTTCAACCATCAGCGTACTGACAAAGGGTTGAAATAGCTATTTTTAAAAGTGTACAATATTACCTATTTTGGGATAAGCTTTAGTTGTTGTACTGTGTATGGAAATTCAGGAATGGTAATTGGAAAATGTGTTTTGTCATGCAATTGCCTGGTAACATTTCACAGCGCATAAACAAAATGTACAACCATTTTCAAAATGAAATGAGGACACTGTTAAGGTAGACAGCTTTTTAATTTATGATACAAAAACACACTTACAATCCCATAACAGTTTAGAAATTATGAAGTGATGTTGAAAAAATAATTAAAACCTTGATATTGTGTGTGAAAAACTTATATTTAAAAACGACAGAAACATAGAATCAACATATACATTATACAGCATATTTTGCTTAATATTTAACACCAATTCTTTTTATGCATTTGAAACATATCTTTTTCTCATAATAAACTTTCTCAATGAGCAAAAATCATGTTTTTTTACATGTGAAGATGTAAACCATATTTTAAAGGGTTGTATTTACCATTAATTCACCTATTATTTAAGGAGGCTGAAGATCAATTAACACGGACATATTTGCAAAAAATTACATTGACGAAGGTACAATGAAAGCCAGTCTGTTAACTGTAGAATTCACGTGAAAAAATTGGAGTAAATGTAAAAAGCCACAAGTTTTTCCATTTAAAACACCGCTGCCATAATCATGGACACAGGCTGATACATCACATATAATTCGATAATTGAATGGTCACACCAAGAGGTTTTTACTGGTCAAATATCAGTGTGAAAAAAAACTGGCATCTCTTCATTGAAAATTGGCACTTGTATTCTGACAACTAAAAATTGTTCCACAAATTCTTTGGTTACCCTGAAATGGAACTTCCTATAAGTCTTCCTAAAATGACCATGTTGATCAGTTTCACTTGGTGCCACCGGTGGCAATGTTGAAGCGAGCATGTGTGTATCTTTCTACACACACATACACATACCTACGTTTTGTTTTAGAGAACTCTAAAGCCGAGAGTGAGACGCTCATTCACACACACACCAATGACAAAGTAAACCATCGCTACTGCTACAGCAACACGCATACGTTAAGCACGGGCGAGATGCACGTGTCTGTCGTTTTTTTTTGACCAAATCACTATAAATGCACTAGGTCTCGTCAGATCGCAGGGCTTTGGCCTGGCTAGTACATTGATGGGTGAACACCAGCGCTTGCCAGGTATTGTCGGCGTGGGACTGCAGTGTGGTCATGCCGAGGTGGTTCTCCACGTTCTCTAGTGTCCTCCCACGTGAAGTCAATCACTCGTTTATGGTATTGGTCAGAGGTGTGGACTCGAGTCATGTGACTTGGACTCGAGTCAGACTCGAGTCATGAATTTGATGACTTCAGACTCGACTTGGACTTGCATAACAATGACTTTGTCCCACCTCTGAGGTGTGGACTCGAGTCATGTGACTTGGACTCGAGTCAGACTCGAGTCATGAATTTGATGACTTCAGACTCGACTTGGACTTGCATAACAATGACTTTGTCCCACCTCTGAGGTGTGGACTCGAGTCATGTGACTTGGACTCGAGTCAGAATCGAGTCATGAATTTGATGACTTCAGACTCGACTTGGACTTGCATAACAATGACTTTGTCCCACCTCTGAGGTGTGGACTCGAGTCATGTGACTTGGACTCGAGTCAGACTCGAGTCATGAATTTGATGACTTCAGGCTCGACTTGGACTTGCATAACAATGACTTTGTCCCACCCCACCTCTGAGGTGTGGACTCGAGTCATGTGACTTGGACTCGAGTCAGACTCGAGTCATGAATTTGATGACTTCAGGCTCGACTTGGACTTGCATAACAATGACTTTGTCCCACCTCTGAGGTGTGGACTCGAGTCATGTGACTTGGACTCGAGTCAGACTCGAGTCATGAATTTGATGACTTCAGACTCGACTTGGACTTGCATAACAATGACTTTGTCCCACCTCTGGTATTGGTCAAACATCACCATGTAGCCTGGCCCTCATGAAACAAAATGGTCTTGAGACTCATTGAGACTTTTGTGGTCAAATTATTTATATTATATTTTTTTCCTCTTTATTAATGTTTTGACAAATTGGGAATTTGGGTATTGACAACTGCACACGATGACCTACTCTGACAAATGTTGAGACAAGGCTTCTTAATGCCTAATATGTACAGGAGTTGGTGGTTGATTTTGGATCTCTTTCAGTTATTTAGGTAGCAGCAGCAGCTTCTCACTGTCAAAACCATACAAACTGTTTCAGTGGTAATTGTGCTAACAGTAACACTACACAGATATGAAATATATACAGCATACACTATGTACAGGTAAGGGTAAGGAAAAAACGATTCTGTCAAAAACGTGTCTAAACAAAAAATGTATGTTGAGATTTCTTTTAAACAGGCAGTTGTGACGATCTGTCTTGTTCCTAATTTTATGTTTACATTCCTGCAAACATCATCTTGATGTTATCCAGTGACAGTAAACGTTTTCTGTTCTGTAAAAAAAGTACTTTAAAACAGTTAAAAAATGTCAGTAATGTGATCAGTACGTAACACCTAGCCAAAACATGAATGTCCAGGAATGAGTGAGCTATGACTGTGGAATAAAATACACATTGCAATGTGTTGAAAAAAACATCCTCTTATTGAATTAAGCACAGAAGTGCGTGCAGTGCCTTGTGGCATCATCTCAAAAGCTGAGACTATATCAGAACTTCTGATATATTCAGCATTCCTCAGCTCAATAAATCCCAGTTGAGATGACGAAACTCCAATTAAACAATCAGCAAGTTAGCATAGCCCTGTGTACTAGCTTTAACGTCTGCACTGCTCTTGGTCTTGATATTTACTGTAACATAACACGTGTATAGGGGGGGTGGGGGAGTGCTGGTGCAAGGGCGATATTTACCCCATGCGATGACGACCTGAGTTGGTTCCCGGTCAAGGCTCACATCAGTAGCAAGCTATATATGAACTTTTGACGTCAAACTTTCGTGACTGCAGGAATTCATATTCTTGGTTTTTTCGGTAAAGTCACGTAAATAGAAAACAAAAAATCTAAAATAAAATTTAAATAAAAAAATAAAGTGAAAAATAAATGTAAAATAATTAAAGCAAAAAACCCACCCGATGCAAAAAACCGCCTGATGAAGACGGGTTGTGTTGCAATCGAAACGTCGTGGGCTTTTTTCTTTTATTATTTGAAATGTATACTCTTTGGTTCTTTCGGTAAAGTCACGTAGGTATAAAAATAAAATAAATCACGACGTTTAAAACAGTCTGCATCAGCAGCAGGCCACGCTTTCCCACCTGATGATGGACGCTTGTGTTGCGCCCGAAACGTCGTGATTTATTTTATTTTTATACCTACGTGACTTTACCGAAAGTACTGAAGAGTATGGATTCCTGCAGTCACAAAAGCTTCAAAATCAATATTTGAAATGTATTTTTTATTTCATTATTTGTATTTTATTTTGATTTATTTTTTAGATTTTTTGTTTTCTATTTACGTGACTTTATCGAAAGAACCAAGAATATATATGAACTGGTCCTGTGCACACCCCACCCCCACCACCCCTTCCCCAAGCTCACTGACCCGCACGGACCAGCGTGACAAAGGACGGTCATACAAAAGGTTGGTTAAATTATTTTCGTCGTTTTTGTTACGCAAGTGTCTGGGGGGTGTTACTCTGATGCAAGCCATGCACTGCACACAGAGTGTCACGAAAAAAATATTTATATTAGCACCGAAAGACAAATTAAAAAATATCTTCTTTATATTTGTTGAATTCAATCAGAAATGTGCCCAGATCTCAATGCACATTGGGAAAAACTCTTAAAAACCGCATTGATAGTATTTTTAATAGACACCTGCTGAATTATTACAAGTTCTGAACGTTGATGACTTCTCACTGATGCACCAATTCCTAATCGGGATGGTTGAGTAAGTGCATTATAAACGTTTACATTAAATATTAAATTATCACCTATAAAAGGCACCTCACTGTATTAACAATTGCACATAGTAAAGCAAAACAGGAAGAATAAAAATAAAGAAAACCCCAAAGCTGTCAGTTTGAAGTTAAAATGTCAGATAAAATAACGATCTGCACTACGAGAGTACGGGGGAACAGATTGCGATGTTCAACGTTTTAAGATTCCAACGAGACCAGTTGCTCAGCTCTCCGATCGTTTTCGGGTTGTACCGCCGTATTGCTCGGCACGACGTCCGACATTTCTTACCACGTGCTGGGAGAATCTACTCAATCCAGTTCCTGGCGAAATTCTGAGCACACGCGCCAAGTGAGACGTCGTTGCTCGGCACGATCCACGTGCCGAGCTTCGAGTCAGAAATCACAACCCGGAAATGCAACCCAAACGCAAATCGGATATTTATGTATGCACAGCACAACAGCCAAAACTTGTGCAGAAGTAACACTGGTTACAACTGCATAACAACTGTCTAATTTAGAAAGCTGTTGTCCGAACCCGAAAAAAAAAAATTGAAACGTGATCCTTGCATTTCTTTCAATGCAATGCACCACAAAACATGTGGATGGGGCAGAACTATTGCATACGTAGAAAAAAAACCGCGTACATCTACATCTTTCAAACACAAATACGCCCGTAAAGCGGCTGTTTATCGTAGTACTTGCGGCAGTTGCTACGTGTCCACAGAGTGGAAAGAAAAAACCGTGACAAGAAACGCAATAGCGGGGGGGTGGGGTGGGGGTGACAATTCTCTGGAACGCTTTGATAACCGTAGCGGGCACGAGTGGCTGCTCTGGGCGGGGGTCATGTGAAACCCTTCCATGCAGGATATAAAAAGTAAAAGGTGTAGCCCTGAAATTGCTCGCTTGTGCAATTTCTGGACTCGAGGGAGCTCGAGAGCACCCCCCTCAGCAGGATATTTTTTTGTTATCTCCTCTTTCACTCTGGCCAGATGTCTTTAGCAGAGGTGGCAGTACCCATACTTGACCGACCACACCTAGTAGCACGGTTGGCTACGTACGGTGCGATACAAGTTCAATGTACATATGTACGTGACCTGCCGATGGACGAACTGTGGTCTACCTGCTGAAATGACTCGGATGGACCGAAGCCGGGGAAGGGATTTCAGAAACATATCCAACGTTTCAACTGAAACACAGGGAGATTGAACTGGTGACCTTTGGAAAGTCCAGTAAGCTAACCATTACATCACCGCAGCAGCATCTGTACAAGATGTGTGAATCGATAAACATTGATAGCACACATGATTTGATGCGGATATGATTTGATGCACACATTGGTTAGCTTAAGAGCTGATATTAACTAACAAATGAATGTATCAGTACACCTCTCCTCAACAGGACAACCTTGAGCTCATGTACTAACGAGTATCTTAAACAGCAAGATACAAGCAAAGCGACGCTTGATTTACACGCCATGAAATGTCTGCAGAACACACGTCGTTGTATAAAAGTCAGTTCATTTTCAGAGACATCACTTTACTTTGAGCAGAGATGATTTGGCTGCAGTTCCATAGACGTACATTTTTTTGTCAGTGTTTTCACAAAGTTGTTTTTTAAAATATAGATATTTTTTGTGGTTGATATACCGCATGCCACACCGCCACAGTCTAACCATCCACTTTGGATCCCGTCTCAGTTTGTCCCCTTCTTCTCCCACTCCTGTGAACGAGAGCAACATTTGTTCATTAGTAAATGTGAACATTCAATGACATTTTAAAATCCCCCTTAAACCACATGAGCTCTTAATTCTAGAATACACACTTAAAGTTTGCACATGTAATTAGCATTGCAACAGTTTTTTTGGAAACCTATCCATACAAATATTTCACAGCTTAAATTTACGTGTAAGCTTAGCCATAATTTCAGCAGGCATTCACAATAAAGCTTACCAATTAAACATGTCTGCATCAAAATTTATTGAGACATCAGCATGTAGTCAGGCATGCTGGAATACATGACAAAATGATCTACGTTCAAACCACCAGTGATCTCAAATGAATCTTGACCGAAAGCTTTCGTGGCTGCAGGAATTCATATTATTTGGGTCTTTTGGTAAAGTCACGTAGATAGGTTCAAAGAAAATAACAAAAAAGCGGTCGTCATCCTGAAAAAATATGACCTCAGATGAGATGTGATGTTCTTGAAGTCACAGTACAGATAATGTTGCCACTTCCGAGGAACAATTAACTGGGACAAATCATGGAGTGAATATTTCACGAAAAACACAAGTGGTGAGTAGTGTATGCTTACGCAATTAACAACTTTTAATGTCCTGGGAAGATTGAAAGATTTCCCAGGACAGCTACCTCAAGACGAAGATGATCTTGCAAAAACTGGGACAAGGTGGCAACCGTAAGTACAAAGCACAATACCTTGGCCTTTTGAATGACGTGGCCTCGACCAGTTTGCGGTGCAGAATTCTGTTTCCTCTTGAGCATGGCCGCACAGTTGACGGGCAGCATCGCCATATCTGTGTCGCTGGGCTCTGGACTGGAGCCGAGGGAACTGCCACGCTTCACCCTCTGTACCTGGGGACTCTACAAAAAAAAGATCGATGCAAGCTGGTTTAATTGTGCTGGGATTGTTTTGTCATTGAAAGATTCAGCAAGACAAGCCTACAAATGAGAAACGGGTTGACATTAAGCAGTTATTGTAGCCAAACCACGTTAACAACATAGCTTTTGCGCAATAATGTAAAACTTTATCATTATGCTTGTTTTCAGTTAGTCTCAAGACTGCAGTTTGGGTCAATTTTGCTATGTGGAGGACAAGGGGGAGTCCCAACCACCCCCCCAACCCCTCCAAACAAAAGATTCCTGATTGTTGCATGCCACGGATCATTTTTGAGATTTATTATGAATATTAAATTGTAAAAAAAGATACATACAATTTACCCTCTCCATTACTTTTAGCTAGGTGTGCCACTCAGAACAGGTAATTTATATCCATTGAACATATTTTGAAATTATATTTTTACAAGAAATCTTCTCGCAAAAGGAAAAAAACAACCAGAGTACGCATGAACAGCAGAAGCAAGGTGAACGTTCACACAATGACCTGTATAGGAGGGGAACCCACGACCTTCGGGTCGATGGTGATACCCAGCGAAGGACCTCCGGCCTGGGCCTTTTTCAGGCTCTCCTTGACCTCGGTGATCTTGAGCTCCAACTCCACACGCTCCTGCTCGCGCATCCGGCACTCGTCTTCGAGTTTGTGCAGTCGCTCCTCCAGCCTCCCGAGCCGCTGCTTGCCACCACCTGCAGCAAGTGCCACCGTTACAATGGCTGGAGGTCAGAGCGCTGAGCCAGCACCGCTGATATCCTGGGTATGAATGTAGGCAGCCGCCTGTGATTAGACTGCTCAACTCAAGAAATGTGTTACAGGTAGGAACAACAGGTTCCACACTGCCCACCAGGGATTATTTTTCTGTCTGTCTGTCGTGCATAGCTCCTCCCAAACATGTACGCTCTCGGATTGGTTGAAGTGCGTCACGTGACCGCGAGCTTTCTGGCGTGCACGAATACGCTGTCCAACCAAGTTCCTACCTGCCCACTCTGAAGAAACGTGTTGATTATTATCTATCACAACTTGCACAGTGGTGTTTGCTGCTGGCTTTTCGTTCAGTGCTTAGCAACCATGATGGTTTCAAATAACAGCATGAAAAAAATATCCGTGACGAAAAAATGTTGCCCTGCACTTAATTGGCTAAATTCCTGCTCTGAGAATTAAAATATCAATTTGACCATCGTGCAACAAACATTAGTCTCACATACAGAGCAGGCGGGAAAGTTCTGCCCTCTACTGTGTGGACCAGAAGTCACTTGAAGAGATCTCTCAGAGGTAGCTCTGTGACATCCACTTCAGGGTGAGCTCTTCTATAACTTGAAGGGTTGCACGGTTCTGCAAGAAATCCACTTACATTATGTTTCATGGAGTGACATCGATAGCCCAATCAGGATACAATTTGGATTAAATTACAAAATATATGTTAGTAAAAAAAACAATGGCTGGAGGCTGTCTCCAAAAATACACCCAAAAAGCATCAGGGACAGCCGGTCAGTGCTGGCTGCTGAACAATTTCAAGTCGTTAGAAAAGTGCTGCTCTGTGGTAAAATTTGCCTTTGAGGAGTCTTACTTTCTTAGCATGAAAGCTTCTCCGGAGAGTAGGCATTTATGCCAAAGAAAATGTAGAATGTCAAGTAATCTCAGAAAAAGCTCTGCATTTTGCTATTGTAATAAACAAAACATTTTATTACAGTCTCATGATTTACTAAAACAAGTTACAGATTATGAACGTGCATGAATATTTGAGATTGTGGAACATAAAATTAATTATTGTTTGAATTTATTTGATTTTGTTACACGGATGGTCCCATTTAGCCAGTTGTCTCACTATTTTAAAAGAGAGGTCCGTGATGTATGAGCACAGCAGCAACATTTATAAAAGACAAAAATTGTTGAACATTTAGTGTTGTTATCTATTCCAAACTTATTTTTAGCCAATGGGGACCAACGCACGATGACACGACCATGTACGTAATAATAATGATACCATATTAATTCTAGATTTGAAGCTTTCGTGACTGCAAGGATTCATAGTCTTAGGTTTTTTCGGTAAAGTCACGTAGGTAAAAAAAATGAAAATTATTAAAAGTAAAATAAAAATGATACCATAGTTTAAGAAAACCAAGAAAAAAATGCACAACCAACTAAATCAAGAACTGTGTGGCGTCGCTGAAAGTTTCCAGAGTGTATGCCAGCGGCTGCCCACCCACCCACCCGTGCATTTCTCCATAGCCTCCTTGAGTTCCTTGCGCTGGGTCTTGAGTTGTGCCAGTTGGCATCGGAGACGTTCCTTCTTTTTCTCCAACTCCTCCTTTTCTGCCTGGAACCTCTTCGCGTCGGCCTCTGCACGATGCTTGCCGTAACGCTGCGAGTCTGCGTCTGAAAGTAAATGCAGAGCGTGCATTTGACGTCGATTTTGCTTTTGGACCACAGCTTTGATTGAGCTGAATCGGTCAATCCTGGACAATCCAGCTAACATCAGTGGCGGGTGGCATCGTAACTGGTTCTAGGCCCTCCTTTTCACCAATCCGCACTGACCAGCATGGGGAAGTATGGCGATACAACCCCCATAAGGGGGGCGCCTCCGCCCAGCAGTCGATCGACAAAGGGGCTGCAAACTAAACGAATCGTATTTAGGGGTTAATAATTGATTAGAAATATTATTAATTATTAATTGTAATTCAAAGCACATTAACGTCAATGCAATACAGTTATGCATTTTTACAACACAAAAATAAATCCCTTGGATTGAATCACAAAAACTCACATTCGTCAATAACACTGCTCTCAGAGGAAGAATGTGTAATTGTCAGCATTATCGACTAATGCGTCTAGGATTTGTTACACGTGCTTGTGCACCACCTCCGTAAATATGGTATCACAACATTTTAAAATAAATATATATCACTTTATGAAATACATACCAGAGAAAACCCCACATATTTTTTTCTAAGGGATACTTTATTCCATGCACGTGCCTTTAAAAGCAGGATATCTGGCGCCCTGTCTTAAGGCAGCAGCAGCAAAGGCATTGGGATTGCGTTTCCTTCTTATCATGTGCTGGGCGTATGGAATTTGCAGCTCTCAAACGCATCTGCAAAAGCTAAACATAAGTGGCAGAGCAGCTTACTTGTGTCCGCAGCAAAGTAAAGACATCTGTCATCAGTTCGGGTACTTTGGATATATCAGAAAGTGAAATTGCAAATACTTTCTAAACATTTACGCAGAGGCGCTGAGTTCAGTTCAGGAGAAGTGTTTGTTTTAAAAGCAGACGTATAAAATCAATAGATATTTACTGGAAGGATTCCTCTTGACAGTTGCGTTCTGTTGCGGTTTCTCCTTCTGTTCGCTCAGCGCTGCCGCTTGCTGTTTTACAGTTGTTCTTCTGCCTGTGACATAAATCTTCTTATCCTGCAAACAGCGGACATTAAATTTGTAAATCTATAATGAAAATGTTAAATATTTTAAAACCCTGAGAGTATTTTTTTTGGTGACCACCAACTGTATCAAGCCTAAATTTAGTAAAAAAAATAAACTTCAATAATAAAAATCCATTTAAATCAAACCCATTTAAATTTACTGCAGCAAAAGTTCCGTAAGAAGATTTACAAATCACCAGCCAGAAAAGCAATAAACTGCAGGGAAAAAAAATCGAAGCAGCAGTAGCAGCAAGCATCCTCGCACATTACCTGCTGCCTGCGATCCCTGGGCAGAGACTTGCCCCCCTGGTCACCAGCACTGGGTCCCGTGGGGGGCTTGCCCCCCAAACCCTGTGCTCGGCGTGTGCTCGGGGAGGGGCTCTGGTAGTGCAGAGGGTCAGAGCGCTGGCGGGACAGAGCAGCGTGTCTGCCCGCCTCCCCCTTCCCCTCCTGCAGGGGGCAGCCCAAGAGAAGCAGCAGCAGCAGCCACCCGAGAGGGAAGAGCAGATTTAAATGAAAACAAAAGAGTGGGAAAACGAGCAGCATAGCTTACGCAGGTCAGCGTTTCCCGAACTCCAGTCAGTACTTCTAGATTTGAAGTTTTCGTGACTGCAAGGATCCATACAACTAAATTTAGTTCTATTTAAAGCTTTCGTGACTGCAGGGATTCATCTTCTTGGTTCTTTTGGTAAAGTCACGTAGAAGGGAAATAATAAAATAATATTATATAATTATACAAAATTATGTAATTATTTTATTATGTTTTATTATTTTATTATTTCCCTTCTACGTGACTTTACCGAAAGAACCAAGAAGATAAATTTAGTTCTTTTCATTTTTATTTTATTTTCACCTACGTGACTTTACCGAAAAATAAAACAAAGAGTATTCAGTCATTACGCTCCACCAAGGCACACCTTTTCATGTTTGCTAAGCTTCTCTGTGAAAGTGCAAATGAAGCCAAGCGCATGTTGCGTGCGCCCAATGATTGCAAAACACATCCCACAAGTGGCGTCGAGAGATCTCTGAATTTGAATCTGCGCTCTCGATGTTGCGACGGCCGTATTTACCAATCCTCATGCATGTGTAGCACATGTCAACGGAATTTGCAATTGACTGGAGAAGACTGATGAACGTGAAAAGCCAAACCATTCTGTGGGTTTTGAGGGCCGGAGTTTGGTAAACCCCGCTACAGGCAATCGTAGCACGAGCCAAAAGGGAATTTCTTCAGAGCAATTTGACCACTTGGCAGACGTTACATAATGGTCCTGTTGCATTGGACTCCTCTCTGACAACCCGTTTATCAGTGTGTCTGCATTGGACTTGATTGCCTTGAAAACACCCCTGACAGGATTTCAAATGAGCGGCAGATAGCATAACAAAGCATTAAAAGACAGTGTGGCATATGAAGGAAGGAGTGATTGAGTCATCAAAAGGTATGTGCATGCATGTGTTTTGCCTTTTTGTTGCTGCCAGGCTGTGCTAGAGCAGAGGCTTGGGCTAGGGTATGTCAACGTTGGATAAAAGTAAAACATTCCAGGCATGCGTTTTTTTCTATGGGTGATGGGTGAGCACTATCCGATTGGCATGGCACGGTTGAAACACCGCAAGTGCCAATCCAGAAACAATGTATGTAAGCCGAGATAAAATAAACTATGGTGTTTTTCTTACGTTTAAGCCGAAATAAAAGAACACAATGGTGTTTTTAACGTTAAAGAATTTCTATTACACGAATAACATTCATAAGAGGTTTTTGGGTTAGATCGTGTAAAATATAAATGTGTCGTTAAACCCGCCACCACCCGACAAAGCCAATTAGTAAGGTTTGTCACGCAAACAAAATATGTCAATTAGTTACGAGTTCAGCACACCGGTGTGTTGGTGAGTAAACCCACAACATTTACAATTCGAGTACAACGTTTCGCCTTAAAGACACAGCCAAACCTTACTAATTGGCTGTGTCGGGTGGTGGCGGGTTAAACGACACATTTATATATTTACACGATCGAACCCAAAAACCTCTATTATGGATAATATTGGTCGCGAAAGCCGACATGTTAAATTGACAAATAACATTACTGAAAACCATATGCACCTTGTTTGGCTGCTTGTAGGGACCATTAAGCGAAGCGTTCCGTCTCACACTTGTTTTGGAATCAACATTCCCGGCCGTAGACCTCTGTAACGTCCGGCTGTACGACAAAATAACACACGTTCTTTATTAGCTAGATATGAAAAAGTGACCTGAAATCCCTCTGGACTCCTGAAGTATCGCGTTTTGGCTTAGCTAAACATGAACCACTGAACTTGTAAAGATTCACCATGTAAAAATGCAAAATTTCTGTTTTAAGGCCAAGAACTGCAGGACTAAAAGAAGATATTTTATGCTGATGTCCCTGTTAATACAGCTGCAAGGTTAGAGCTCTTCTCTTGGATACGACAAGCAATAAAGCTACACGGGCTACAAAAAGCAGTTGTTATATCCTTCCAGAATGTGTTTTCAAAGCTGAGCCAAACACCTTCAAAGACAGAGAAATAATGCTGAGGTTTGGCTGCATTAGAGGGCATCGATTGAAGTGGATGAGTCACTCAAGGCAGACTTGTGCTGCGATTGAGATGCCTGGATTTGTCCCTGTGAGCAGCAGCATTTGGAGAAGGGTCAAAGGTGAAATAATACAATATCATAAACAACGTGCTTGACTTTAATGGGAGAGTTATGGCTAATTGGTTCATTTGGTAGTCTCAGGTGACATTTTGCCAATAACAAAAAGACCTCCCACGGCTGAAATGACAACACAACTGAACCATAACCCAGATATGATTAATTTTGGGAAAACCTTGTTTTTCATAATATAACTGATGAAACAAATATCATCATAAAAACTATCCAAATTAAACTTGACTACGAAGTCAAACATTATGCTCACACTTTTTTCCAAATGATGTTCAAAACTTTTAGCCATTTTGGAGGAATCTCTATATTTATCACAAATCACAATAATGTCCTCGGCACTTGACTTGCGGTGTACGGTGAATATTGCACGAAGAAAGTGAGCTGCAACCAAGACACACGCGGCGCACTTACGCCATCATTAAATGTACGATGAGAGACCGCGTCCCGTGTATAATTGAGCGCGCCGTGGCAATTGAAGTGCCGGACGTCGAGACAGCTCGGGTCACCTGCAGGCGTCCTGCTCTGCCTCAAAGACGTGACCGAGGGCGTTGATGTCCACGTAGTCGTAGGGCAGAATGACGGGGTCAGTGCCTCCTCCGGCCTCCGACAGCACGAGCCCCAGCCAGCGAACCATCTCCGCGTTGCAGCCCGCCTGGCACGTGCGGCGACACAGCATGGCAGGCGGCGATGCCCTTAGTGAGCAACTACCCACCGACAGACAATGCTATAGAACAGTAGTTCTCAACTGGGGGGGGGGGGGGGGGGGACATGGACCCCTGGGGGTACACGTGGCAATGTCTCAGGGACGTTGTGAGGTGATTTATAAATGTGTGAAATGATATCATACATGAGTCATTGGTGAATAATCATGTATGAATCTGCCAATATAAAATAACTGTGATACATTTGTAATCGTATGGTAACCCAGAACAATATAAAATACCTTTCTGAACTCATTGATAGGAGACAATGTGGTTTCAAAAACGTCTTGCATGCAGAGCGTCTGTGGTATTTCTTTTTATTCACTTTCAGTTACTAGCTAGTTAGGATACCTCACAAAATGGACATTTGGTTAAAATATTGATGTTCATTATTCCTAAATATATTTCTCAGAACCATGTTGGGTCAATTTAACAAGGGGTAAAGCAGCCAAAAAAGGGTTGAGAACAACTGTCATATAATGTAGATCACCATTATCATCATCAGCCATGGTCAAATCCACTGCTGGATGAAGGTCTCCTCGAGGCACCAATATTTTATCATGATCCTGCGATGTGATAATCCAACTAGAGCCTGTGTACGAGCGGATTTCATCGCGACGTCACCCTGGTGGGCGGTCTCTCTGACGCGTTATTATTCCTTCGCTGCAGACAGTAAACATTCATCGTCAAGAGGAGCGGTGACACAGCAGTAAGCGAGCTCCACTATGAACTCGGTGGACTAAGTTCGATTCAGGACTGTGGCTAACATCAGTGGCGAGTTATTTTCAAGGGGGTCAATATAAATCAGTGGGGCTATATATACATGGATGCATGAAAAGGAATGGAGGATTCGAACGGGCAGATTTTGGCCTTAGGCCCCAGTGCTGTCTCACACTCGTCATGACACCCACCATCAATGTTAATGCGCTGGCGAAAGCCTAGAGCCTCGTCACCCATAATGAGGTCAATCCTGCTCGACATTGCAGATGACGCAGGATTGAATCTGTGCCGTTTGTTTGGAAATTAAATTAAACGTTGAGGTATGAGGCATCATATGCAGACAGATGAAAATATTCTGTCGCTATAGCTAGCAAGCTCGTCTTAACTGAGGGATCACAATTATATTAAATTATTTACTCTTCTATTTAACATTGTGGTGGCTGGTGAGGTAACATGAACCCATTAAATAAAATGTGATGCTCATATTGTGAGATTCATTGACGTAAATAGATGAAATGATGCAATGTTAAACTCAGTAGCCATGATATATCCACTGTCGGATGAAGCATTCTCCAAGGCGTGACCACCTCTAACAGTGTCACAATATAACAATCCATTAAGCACCTACACGAAAGCTGATTTCATCGCTCCATCTCCGTGGTCCGCGTCCTCTCGGTGCGTGTTCCCTGCTTTGGCCATCACATCATCAACAGTCTGGACGAGCGGCCATCATCCTGACTAGCGATGTGTACTGAACCCAGCCCTGAACAGGCCAAACATCTCAAACCCTCAAATGCGAAATATGTAAAGGAGCACGGACAGGTACATGCTCGGACTTACACCGAGAGAGGTTTCACACAGATTGAAGATTTGAGAACACAATGAGATAAAGGTGCAGCCCTGCAATTGCTTGCTCATGCCACTTCTGGCAGATGGGCCACCACGAGAGGGAGCTCTAGAAAGCCTCTCGAAAGGCCATTTGGTCTCCTCTTCCATGCTGGCCAAGCATTTTGAAAGACGTGGGGGTGCTCAGACGTCACCTCCACCACACGCAATCTACCGACCGACTACCTGTGCTGTACCCATTTCAACTGCTAGGTGGACAGACGAGGGAAGATTTGATAAACTTGCACCATTGTTTCAACTGCCGCGCCAGGAGATTGAACCAACGTGGTGACCTCTGCATTGCAAGTCCAGTGTGCTCGCCATTGAACCACGGAAGTTTAGATGTGAAGAGCGCCGAAATGAAATTCGCATTTGATCGTAGATTTTCCGGCGACCAAATGTAACGGTCACTGAAATTTGACAAAACAAACAGAAAGAGAGAACTGATAATCATGTACGTTTGAAACCAAATGGGTAACACGATTGAAATAAAATACACTGCTCCACAACTGGAGCAATCGGTAACGTGTTTACGTTCACTCTTACACTTCCTATTTATTCTCTAACTTCATACAGAGCTCTCACACCCCAGCCACTCCATCTCCTCTCCAAGCCGTTCCAATCGCCCCCCAATCTCCCCCATGCCACCTGTCACCACGCACCTCCAGTGCAACGGCCTCCTGCCCATCGCGCAGGACGCGGAACGCGTACGGGTGCTTGGGGTCCATCCCGGGCAGCAGCTGGCAGCCGCCGAGCGGCACGGTGCTGGCGGGGACGGCCACTGCGGAGCGCCCCTCTCCTCGCTCCTTGTGCACGTGGAGCGCGCCGTCTTTAATATGGCACCACCGCTCACGCCACCGGCCCCCGATGAGGACCTGGAGGTATCCGCATGCCGAGGACTCCTCCTCCGACGAGGAGGGCTCCTCCGACAGCTTCTTCTTCTTGCCCAGCCCCATGAAGCGAGTGATCCGCTTGCCTGTGGCCTTGCTGACCGAGTCCTTGAGTTCGGCCAGACTCGTGCGCTTGCTTTTGTCTGCGGAGATTCCAGTTAGGGGTTGAGGTTCAGACAAGCGTGACTTTTGCTGATGAGCCCCATGAGGTTGAAACCGGTCATGGGTTTGCTTGCTTTCAACGATTGTTCCTGATGGACACAATTTGTCTGGATGCACTATCGGATGTTTGCCGAAAGAAAAATACTGTGGGGAGGTTATACATTAAGTGCAATGTCACCACTCAAGTCTGTTGCCCTCATAAGTCTGGACCGACCTTTCCCAGCCTGCCGTGCCGTCGACTCCCCGCCTTTGTTCAAGTCCAGGTTCAAGACTTTCCTCATCTCTCTCTGTCTATGACCGACTACCTCTTTCTATGAAATAAATATGCCGACTGTTTCTGCACAGCATCTTGAGGTGCGGTCACGTTTTGGCGCCATATGAATCCCAATTGTGAATTGCATATTTTAAGAAGAACAAAGGCCAATCGGCACGTACATGACTGCTCAGCCAACAACGAGGTGATCACATTCATATCTCACGGTAAAAAAAATAACCCCTTGTAAGTGTTGAATAGGAATGTTTAAGAAGATGAGGCAAGGAAATAGAGTACATATGTGTTCCATGAGAAATAATGTGAATTAAAATGCTGTAAACAATCACCTTTGTCTTTGCCATCAGTTCCATTCATCATGATAACTTCTTCTAAGCCATTCTTGCCAATTGTTCCCTCTTCAATTGCGATGTTTCTTTCCAACGAAGAGCTCTTAAAAACAAAATACCGATATAAGTAACACAACACCAAACACAAAGCACAATATTCAACACAATGTTTCAGCAGCATTGATTTGTGTCATGTGGTTTAATCAGAAAATTATTGCATTGTGAGAACCCCCCCCACAATATTGCTTTTTTTGCTTACAACAGGGACACATTGGCTAGAGGGTGTGCTCCTGCCAGTAACGTCTGGTAAAGCAGCAGCGTTATTTAATAAGGATGGCTCTGCTGGTGAGCCGAAAAAAATGACGCGGATTACATGTCTGGAAACCAAGAGAGTGATGGACCAAAATATTTCATCTTCATGTGGAGACGCAGAAAGGAGATCTGTTTATAAGATATTACCCACACTGCTCAAGAACAACGCGTAATACACGTTGTTCTTGTATACGCTCTTAGTTCCAGTTCCTATATTAGGTAAGTCAGAGATAGATATTACGTGGTGGTACAGTCTCGAGTTCTGCAGCTTGATTGTGGAAGCTAGAGAACGCCACCTGCTGGACCGTGACTGAACGATAACAACAGAGAATGTGGCTCAAAGTGCACGGACAAGTGGAAAGCTCAAGCGGACCTTGTCCGTTTCCGCTCTTGACAGCGTGGACGTCGGTGATGGACAATCTATGTCCACAGTCCCTTCGCTCACCCCGCACACCTCCCGGATGATCTGCCCACATGCGTACAAAATATATCATCATCATCAGCAGCAGCCTCGATCCATCCATTGCTTGATGAAGGCCTCCCAAAGCCGTCGCCAACAGTCCATCAATACTGGTCTCATTGTGCCATCTTCATTTGGCTGGCACTCTGTCGTTAGTCTCGAACACCGTCCATCATTCCTTCTAGAATTGTGGCCTGTCCATGCCCACTTAACAGTTAATATGTTGTCTCTAACATGATCCATGTGTTCCTAACACTGGAATGGCACAAAGCACTGCAGGTAACAAAAATCATGACCCTTTCAGAGTACGTAACAAAAATAACACGTAAGCGATACTTTCGTAGTTGTGCGGTACAGCTCTCCGATGCGTTTTCTCGTTTTAGCACGTGTTGTTTGGTGCTCAACGCCCGGCGTTTTCCTCCCAGCACAAACAATCGAAACTACCAGGGACGAAACAACACGCGGCACGACCCGAACAACAGCGCTCTCGAGGCAAACCGGGAGATGGATGGCGTACACCCACCTTGAACCACTCCTCCGCCTGCTCGGGACTTTGTGTGGCGAGCACCACGCCGTCAGTGCCGGGCGGCCCGTTTATCCGCAGCTCGTACTTGCGCTTCCTCACATCCTTGGGGGAGTATGCTACGCTGCAGCCCAGTAGCGGCAGGTCCAGCAGTGGCTGCTGATCCTTCGAGCTCTTGTAGCACTGTTGAAAGGAGCACATCATCATTATCATCAGCAATACATTCCTGGATGAAGGCCTCCCCAAGTCATCGCTATCTCTCGTGGTCCTGCGACGCCATCGTCCAATTAGGATCTGTACGTGAGCGGATTTCATTGCTGTTGGTGTGTTGGTGGATGTCCTCTCAAGCACGTTCCCTCTTTTGGCTGCCACTCGATCATCATTCTAGGTCATCGGCCATCATCCCTAATAATGACGTGTCCTCCTACCCAAGCCCGCTTCCTTTTCCTGATGAAAGGCGTAAATTCGTATAAAAACTCTCTGCAACGTCCTGCCACTTTATCTATCACATTGTGGCAGAAAGCAATAATGTCTTTGTCAAAGCACTGTTGAATTAGACCAGTTCAGTCATGGGAGTTGTTTGACCATACTTCACCATGCTGGCTAGCGTGGATTGGTGAAATGGGGGGTGTACCCAGGACCATTTAAATCATCACTCACCACTGTGTAAAACCTGTGGATAGGTTGCCAGGTTCATAGCACAGCGGTGAAGCAATGCGGCACCACTCACTCGTTGGGCTTAATGTGAGGATGGTACTCTTTGATGTTCATTCATTTGAAATTTGTTGACTATTCAACTGTCGTATTTTTACAATTCTCGATTGAGGCATGCTCAGTTGAAATTGCAAAAAAGAAAGGAATAAAAATCATACAACTACATGGCTTCTGCAATGCTTTTCAGCGTGTGTTGTTCTCAAGAGAAATTAGCGATGATGATGTTACGTTCCAAGTCACACAATGAGATGCCGTAACACGGTGCATGATACGTTACCTCATCCCCTTGGTCGATGCGATGGATATCCTATGAGCTCTGGTTTTAAATCACCACATTTTGGGCAATAATTTGATTAATTTGGACAGTATACGCTAATAGTAACACAACCTTATGCTAACATTTTGTTCTTAATGGATCATCTTTACCAGAGGTCTTACGACCCCCACACTACAATCGGACACAAGAACAAAGCTAATGCATTAAGACGTTTTGATTCCTCGAGTATAAATACCTATTCCGATTCTGACTTTCAAAACTAAACTATTAAACTAAACTATTTTTATTTTACCAAGTCAGGGCCACTGAGCTCTATAGCTCTTTTTCAGAAGCGACCTGGCCACAAATGATAGTTCATGTAGAAACTTATAGCAGCCAAATACTCTAAACGCACATTTCTGCAAGTGGAGGGGAAAAACCGAAGCACCCGGATAAAAATCCACGTGACCACTGGGACAAAATGCAAACTACAAATATGCAGCAGGCGTCAAGGTCAGGATCGAACCCACGGTCTCCCTGCATACCAGGCGAGGCGGATAACATCTCGGCATTGCAGTGCCCAACCCGAGTTGGCGTATAAAAAAAAAGAAAATCACGATTCAAAGCAATATCCCCGCTTTTGCAGAGAAGCCTCACCAGAAGGTGAGTCTCCTTGATGACGCAGAGCTGACGAGACCACTGCCCAAAGCGTTTCTTGCGCAGCAGGAAGGCGCAGATGCGGCTGTCCTTCACCAGGTTCATGGACGCCTCCTCAGAGGGCCACTGCCGAGTCAGTGTCTCCCCTTTGCCGTCCTCCTCCTCGTCGTCGTACGACTCGTAGGAGCTGCTCGCCACGTCCGAGTCATGGTCTACGGAAAACCGCATCCGCCACATTTTTTTTTTTTTTTACGTGGCATAGGCAGAGTTTGCCCACTTTTTCCGGTGGAACAAACCAAGACAAAATGATGGAAAGGAGAATATTTCACAAGACCAAAAGAGAGGAGAGCTAATTGCAAATGCATTGTCTTGAGTTGTGTATTATTATGTTTATTACTCAAGAATGTTTAACGTACTGAGAAAACGAACATAATTGCGAGGACAACTATCTCAAAAAGAGGATGATGCTGGGAAACCCAAGACAGGTGGCAACTCAAAGCATAGGTGGGCTTATGTATAAAGCAATGTTCGCATTTCTCCTTCTCTCTCCAACCACATATTTACCGCTAATGTAAAGCTGGGTGGTAACCCAGCCTCACGTTTGTTGTGGTCCGATTGAAGCATGGTGTGCACAGCTGCAATCCTAATTATCTTCATTTCCTCCAGGGTACAATTAGCACTCTTCACTCTCTAATGAAGACTGATGATCATGGCGGCAGCTGCTCATAGCAGTGAATGGCAACAGCCAGTCTGGGCCTGTCCCACACTGGAACGGTGCCAATTTGAAAGGTAGAAACCATGTATCAATCATTACACCTAACATGGTGCAATTTTAGGTTCGCAATATGCTCAAATATGGGCTGTATCAAGAAATATTATAATTTTTAACGCATACAGGCATTGTGGGGCAGAGGCAGAGAACAACGTGACAAGTTTGTAACTTTTGAAATGACAATTCTAGAGGACAGAACCAAGAAGATCGGCGGGGGGGGGGGGGGGTAAGGCGTTATTACAGAGCGCATCTCTACAACGACGTGAAGGGGAGGAGGGGGGCAACATAGGCTTATCTGCATACACACAGGTGCAAGCGATGATTATGGCCAAATTCATGTTCTCAAGGGTTTATTTTAACTAAGGGGGGGGCTGTTAGCGGAGAAGAGATCCTCGTACTTTTGGGGTGACAGCTGTTTGCCAGCACCTGCCGCTCGTCCGCCTCTTCATAGAACGCATCCTGAACAGGCCCCGTGCTTATTCCGTTGCTGTCTGCGAGTAAATAAGAGCGGGCAGCAGGCACAATTCGATTTAAACGCTTCTTAATGCTCCGGGATAACCAACTGCCGGAACATTTTTAGTCTTCATGTATTATGTTAATGGAACAAAGCCAAAGTTGGCTGGGATCATTGCAACATGTGGTCTTGGGAGAACTCTACTGTTAAGTGTATTCTAAGGCTGCGAAAAGCTGTGCTATGCCGATAAATAATACAGAACCTGGGGGCTTTAATTCTACGAAAAGCATAAAGCCAGACCGAGCATTAAATAATATTTACATAACTTGCATAAGTTATCGCTTAGGAATGCACAGGCTACTTATTATATACGAACCATAGCATGTCACTGAAAACTATGGAAATGCATGTTCCTATTTAATGCGTCACATGCGAGGGCAAAACATTTGCCTTTGACCTGTCGGACACATTTTAAAAGCAACGCAGAAAAACGGCCTCATTTTTTTGCACGGCGACTTGAAAACATACTAACATCTTGTCAAAATTAGAAAGAATGCGAGCTTAAAATCAAACAAATGAGAAACATCAAGATATTTTCAAACACAATCAGTGACTGCACTCTCACATAAGATATTTAAAGTGCGAATTCTCACAGGCTCCCAACTGTTATTCCATCGCTTTATAAACATTAATATTTTTCTTCCTCATATTCTAATGTGTTTTTTCAAAAGGCCGTTCTAATTTAACACAAGTCACAAGGGCGTGTTCTCTGAAGGCAATTCTTCTACATTATTTACTTGTATTTCATGAGTGTGTTGCACTGGATGCCACAAGCATACTCACTCATGTACATGGTGTATTGAGGCGCCCGACTTGGGGTTAAAGGGTCAGCGACTTCATAAGCATCGTTTGCCCCAGCAGACAGACTGGCCCCCTCCTCCGCCTGCAAACCACGAGACATTACATCATTGTGTGTGGGTCAGCACGCCAGTCTGTGTGACAAACTATGCTGTGGTGAAAGAACACGTAAGCTTTGTTTACATTTTTTTCTGTAAATGCTTCGTGCGTTCATTCCAGAACTTGCACTATACCTGCACAAATGACCTTAAAGCAGCGAAAACAAAGTTCAACTTTGCCAGTTTGTTTGAAAGGGAGCGTATTTATTTTGAATAAGGAATGTTTGCTTTTAAAGAATTAATCTCAATGTAACGTCAGAAGCACAAGCAACAATGTTGTAAAACATTCCCCATGGTTGTTTAAAGCGAATTAACTCGTACGTTCAAAAAATGTCCTTGAACATACACGAAACATTTCGTGCTCATTCTATCAATTAATTTCAAGTTTCACTGGTTGTAAAGTTTTATCCTGTTACAGGTGCTGATTGAGTTCAGCAGGCACATTGTATGTGTAAGGGACCGTAAGGACATAGGAATGTTGTAGACGATGACGGCCGAATGGACACGGCGAGTCATCTTTCAGTGAACACCGGTGATTTATATCAGCCAAGGGAGAGAAGTTAACGCAGCAGCAGCACCCCCTTCAATTTTGTGTTCAGGGTCAAAAGGAAACACAGACGCACAGTAAGACCACTCCTGAGACCCTCCACAGGGGGTTAGCCGCAATTGACAGAGGCGCTAGTGCGCCATAGGTTGAGCATTCCTGAGTCTGGCTGCCTCTTCTCAAAGGTGACGGTGCATGTCAGGTTTTGGAGTGCTATAAGCCATGAAAACGGCTGTGATGTTTCCGTAACGCTTTCAGATAGCAGGATTCCATGCCGCCTGATCTTAAGCAGCCCTCTGCAAACGACGGTATCCTCAATGTCTTTGTAATCAAACTGTGAATTTAAGTTTACACTTTAGGATGTATCATTGTCACATTGTACAGTGCTCTCGAGCATTCAGAATGGATCTAACAATGACAGTGTGTTATCTCATGCTTAGTAGGTATGCAGCGAATTCATTCCCCAGAAAATTGTCATGGTTCAGCACCAAGATTCATTTCAGAAAAACATTATTTCACGTATATTTTTCAAACCTCTCTTTTGTATTATTTCAAAGTTTTTTTGTCATGCAAAATTGTGTTCGCTCCATCAACCCTAAATGAAACACAAGCGCATCATTTTTATCATTTGTGATGAAAAAATTCTTAAATGCACAAATTGCACTCCTTTCAAACACAATAATCGCTTTCAATCAATTAATTTATGCATTGATACATGCCTAGCACCGATTGTACAGATTTCTACATCCGCCGATATGACTTTCGCTCACAGCCGCTCTGTCAATACGCTGCTGGAGAGAGGCTTCCCCGCCATGCCGTATCCGTCGTGAGGTTTGTTTCACCGCACTTCACCGCACCGCTCGTCAGTGCAGGTTGGTGAAGTGTGGCCCAGGGTCAGTTCAGATATCAGTTTTCTGGTTAGATTCTATGTCGCTATTTCATTATACCTGATGATGATTGCTTGTGTTGCAATAGAAACGTCGTATGCTATTATTTAATTTATTCTTTTATCTTTATACGTGACTTTACCGAAAAAAACAAAGAATAATTCCTGCAGTCACAAAAGCTCCGAAAATTAAGATCAGATATCACTTTCCACTGATGCTAGCCATTCCAGCCCACCCAGGCACTTTCAAGTACACCCAGCAAACTCTTTAAGAGCACCCCCTGCGCACCTCAGGAATTGATAAACTTATGCAATGTGTACTTGTTTACGTTATTTATTTATCTGTATATATTTTAGTGACTTGCTTACATTTCCTATACTCTGCACTCCTATGGGGGTTGTTGCATTGTTGTTGTAACTTCCTGACCTACCCCCTGCTGTACATCTGTGAGAAAGAGTTTCATAGGCTCATCAGATTCCACCAGGATAAATAAATATTCTGATTCTGTTCCATCACTGGCCAATCTCATGTCCCCCACTTAGCCAATATCATGCATTACTGGTCTCCAAAATTGAGGACTTTGCATTATAACTTCCCAAGGTGTTGCCCAGCAACCAATGGTGAAATGTTCTAACATGGAATACAATGAAACCCAAAAAGGCTATTTTAGCAAGTGTGTCAGCTGAGGTGGTCACTGATTTACCACTTCCAGAATAACGTTGCATAAAAGAAAATGGACCACATTTCAACACATACCTTTAGTATTAACTGCGGTTATAAAATAAAAGTGTACTTATTTGCACCTGACCTTGAATTAGGCTAGGGTCTGCGCCAAAAACAATTCTGAGTTACAGATCGGGTAGCGCTGTTTGAGTCTCTGTCGGCATCTGGTGCCGCTCCAGGATCGTTTGAGCGTTTGTATTTGCAGTTTCACAGCAGTGAACTTTTAACTGTAGCAGCAGCAGCAGCTGCCGTTGGTCTGCAATGTGACTCACTCTGCATGTTCGACATCTGTTCGTTCTCAACCCAACATATACATATAGAGTCTCAACCACAAAGACAGCCATAATCAATCTCATCTACCCGATTCTCCTGAATATTACGCAGGTTTTTTTCCCTTGTATTTTAAAGTAAAAGCTGGGGAATACGTCTTATAATTCAGTCGGTAGTTATGTTCGTGTGGACCATATTTGTATAACTTTATTGACGGCGGACACAAGTTTATGTTGAACTTCTTTCGCACCATACATAACCAACCATGATAATCAGAGGAAGGACAACAAACTAAACACAAAAAGTAGTTCTAAAAAAAAATAGTTCTCAATCTAGATTTAAAAAAAGTGCATATCACCTGTGTCTTCCTAATATCAGAATGAGGAGCGTTCCAGACGGCCGCAGATTCGTATCTGAAAGCGCGCAATGCAGTAACTGTCTTTGTTCGATGGTTCGCCAAAAGCTGCTGTGAGGATGAGCGGACTTTGCGTGATGGTTTCAGCTCATTGATGAGCTCCGCAAGTTGTGGTTCATTTTTTCTTCAATAACATTGACGATTATTTACAAGAGCAATTCACCATTGTGCAAGTGTGCACATATGTATATATGTATATGGCAGTACTCATTCCACCTTTATAGACCCACATTTTACTGAGTCATAATTAATCTTAGCTGCCTGAAGTTTCAAAGAGATTGTAAGAAAAAAAATGCTGGACCATAGCCACATATAGCACTGCAGCTGTTCTGCATAAGAAACATGCGGAGACTTTCACTCCCACGGGCAATTACCGGCACAACCCGCTCTATTTATAAATCAAAGTCTACTTAAATAAACAAATATTTTTAACGAGTCATAATAGCATCAACATATTGTTTACATTTTGTTGTTGCATTCAACAAAGTGATGTGTTCGTACAAGCTGTACAACGATATCACCAATAAAGTAAAGGTAAAGCAATAGCAATTGCTTGCTCACACCACTGCTGGTGGAAGGGGATTCCATTAGAGAACTCCTTTGGAGGATATTTGACCTCCTGTTCAATGCTGGCCAGAGGACTTTGAAGCTTTTGGAGGGAATACCCACACTTTACTCCATCACGTGCAATCTGCCAGTCGACAAACTCTGGTAAACTCATTTATACTTCTGGGTGAACAAAGGCAGGGGAAATTTCGATTTAAAGCTTTCGTGACTGCAGGGATTCATCTTCTTAGTTCTTTCGGTAAAGTCACGTAGAAGGGAAATCATAAAATAATAAAAATAAAACATAATAAAATAATTCTCACGACGTTTCGGCCACAACTGCAAGCAGCCGTCCTCAGGTGAAGACCAGGTCTGTCGCTGATTCCCCGACAGACCTGGTCTTCACCTGAGGACAGCTGCTTGCGTTGTGGCCGAAACGTCGTGAGAATTATTTTATTATGTTTTATTTTTATTGTTTTTATCATTTTATTATTTCCCTTCTACGTGACTTTACCGAAAGAACCAAGAAAAAGACATGGGAGTTTAAGAAACTTGCCAATTGTTTCAACGATCACGGCAGGAGATGGAATTTAACCAGTGACCTCTGGATTGCAAGTCCATTACACCACAGCAGCATCCTATATCAGCGTTGAAAAATAATGAAATACAAAACGGGGTTCTCTTGATTGTCAGTTCTTTAGTGTAACAATGAGTTAACTTTTCTATGTAAATCACTCAAAATATACTTTTCTATGTTCATGTTACATGCATATCTTTATTTACATTTCAGGAAACAATTCGCTAACACACACAGATGAAATATTTTGTTTGATCTGAATGAACTCTTAGAGTGTTGAAGGAGAAAGAATGAAAACCTGCAACAGAATACAGCTAAAAATAAATTGCTCTTAGAAAACCGAGTTCAAAAATGAAGGTCGTTTTATAAATTTGGAAATTTAAGCACCACGACATTCTCAATAGAGCTCTGTTCGGGCTACCAGATCGCGTCTGAATATGCTATTGTGAAGCTCCATATTCCTACGCAATTAGCTCTGTGCCTGCTATGAAAAGAGGCACAGTTCATGCCAACCACTGGGCTTCCAAGAAAAGAATATGGAATTCATGAGTGATAATTTGCACAAAACCATACATACAGAACCCAAACACTATTTTGGCTGGAATCGATCAAAGAATCAAAGAATGGCGGCCATACTTAATTTCAGCTTCGCTCTACGACAGCCAGCAATGGAAACTAAACAAATCTCCACCATCTACAGCGACGAAAGACGCTCAAGCCATCTTGTAGTTATCGCTCTGCGCGCTGACATGTGTATTTTGAGACACCGACCGGCATTTAACCCCCTCAATGCACAATTCAGTTTTGTGAGTGAAGAGGCTTTTGGAGGCCGGCAGCTTCTCTCCCACAGAAAGCTGCAGGGAGGACATGCCGAGGGGACACAGGGAAGCTTGTGCTGCCCCAAATGCTTTATGTGTGCACATGGCTACCGGAATTTATTTTGGAGCGACTGAGCTATAATATGAGAATAGGTTTTCCCCTTTTTTCTGGCAACAAAACAGTTGTTAGGATGTTAAAACATGAAACTGAAACCTTTTACAAGGAATCATGTCTGCATTAAACACAATACTTGTGGTCAGAATGAAAACAAGAAACGTACTTTGATCATATATGTTGGTACTGACAAAGGAGGCCCCATGATGAACTATTACATATTGAGATTTAAAGCCGTTTCCTTATATACTAATTACCCAGAGAGCTTTGAACGATTAAATAACTGTTACTTTAAAAAATTTCATGAAAACAATGTAAGGTCAGGGGCATATAATAATTCATTCTTTGTTTAAAGTTACAATATTCATTCTATACATGCTGAAATAAGAAATTACATTTTAATGTGTGCGTTTGTAAAATGATACTGCACAATGACAACAAATATTTTTTTAGAAAACCATAACCAGAGCTTGTAATGTACTCAATAATGAATGTGTGAATCGTCACTACAGTATTTTTACTTTTTTTTTACATTTCAGCTTCACCTGAATAATTTGGTCACATATGAGCCACCTGGTGAGTGAACACATGACCAGCAGTGAGGCACTAAGATTATTATAAACAGCAATAGTTCGGAAGAAGCTAAAATACTTTTTTAAAAACTCAGGTTACTTTTAGGACCAAAATAACACCTTTAAACAACAAGCAAACAACATTTACCTGGAAGTACCATTGTCCTGTGACAAGCTTGCCTTCTTAGGTTAGGGTTACCAAGAAAATAGCAGCATTTGTAATCCTTAAAGTGTTCCCGTACGTCACCAGCAAAGCAATATAGCAAACGCTCTATTGCTCTAGAAAATAATAAGGAAACCTGCTGATTAGACGATGAATTTCGAAACCAGGCCAGAGTTTTCTTTCGCTGAAATTATGCACTTGCAGAAGGCAGTGTGGCTGATGGAATAGGTAAGATTTGCTTTACTTCATGTAGAGGGACGATTATGTGAAGGAAGCACATTTTGTCTTCAGTTATTTTATTGCTCTACAAGCTCATGTTCTCACCACGATAATGGGTGCCTTTTGCAATCGCACAAAGATCACACCTGACTAATCCAATCCTGATCTTGTGACCACACCTCTGCAAAGGCCAGTGTTGTTGTAGAGCAATGCTCGCCAATTCAGCCACACCACACAACATTCGACATTGTCTCGCAAAAGACACATCTTGCCAAATGTGTTGCTGCACGTAGTTCCCATGTTTTATTTTCATATGAATCAGCCTCCTATGGCCTTCGGGCATTGTTAAATGTAACCTCAGACTCAGACCTGAGCAATGTGTGAAGAAATCCATATAATGTAGCCAATGGCATACAACATTCTTTTTTTTAAAACTTTCGGCATATTCCGAGCAGATGCTTATTCGCGTTAAAAGTGAGCACACCCCATTTTGGCTTTAAAATGTGGGTGTGGTGAGGAGTTGTTTGCTTGGAAAGGTGCCAGTGTGTTTGCCTCAGGTAGTTTCTTTAGAAAAATTGGTAAAACTATATCACCATCTGGAAATGTATAGCCAGTCCCATGATTAGAGAATTCAGTCAGGCAAAGTAAAGACTGCATGCTCAATCAGTTAGGAGCTACAGGGAACACAGTCAGTCATCGATAAGTGCCTGATTTTGCTACAGAGTATGATTACGTTTTGGCTATAAACCAGACACCGACATATCGGGCGCTTGCACTGTGAAGAAAGAATGAATGGGAATAAAATGCCCATCCCTTGTCCCAACATCACAATCCTCCATGGCTCTTAAATGTGTTATTCAGTTGTTAAAAAAAAAGATACCCTAAACCTGCCAGACAGTGGTTAATCTCCTGTACCGTTGTGAAGCTTGGTGTGCTTTATTTAGTACTGACAACTTTCACCGATTTCAAGCGAAAAAATGTCTTGAAACCCAAACAATAAACAGAACTTGTTTTACGTAACATTAAGTAAATAAAATGACATAACACAATTCTAGGTAATACCTCGCTCAAGATAAAGGCACTGCCAGTACCATCATAACAAATAACATTGATAAAAAAAAACAACTCTTGGAACCTGTTCTGAGGCCCTCTGTGGGGTTATCGTTTTGACTTGCAAGCGAGAAATGTGGGAGAAATTCAAGGCAGGTGTTGTTTTCTGTATTGACTCACCAGCAGTAGAGGCAGTGGGATCTCTGGCAGCGGGATCTGAGGTCTGGCCGGAGCGCGGGATGCTTCTGATTTGTGGCCCGTGGGACGCCAGCAGTGTTCTGTGCAGAGGGGAGCCCGTGGGGATAAGGTCTCTTAGAAAAACCCACCGCGCTGACACTTGTGCCTCCTTTCCACTGCACAACCGAACCATGCTGGTGCCATGGCCGAGCCGGCCCTGCGAAGCATGGTTTATAATCAGAGTCGTGCCACTGATGTTGCATATGAAGGATTCGGTAATGCCATGCCATCAAAGTGTACTGACTGACGTCACACTAAATTTATATATGGTGAACTTCTTTTGCACCATACGTAGCAAACCCTGCTAATCATCGGAGGTACGGGGAAGTATAAAAATTTCTAAATTTCCCCAACCCTGGTCCTACATGGCCAAAATCCAAATTCAGATGTCTCGTGATACCAGCGTATCACGGTTTGATTGTGTGGCTCGGCAAGGCAAATAGCTGGTGGAAAAGAGCCCATACCTTGGGGCCCTCAGTCTTGTATGGCATGGATGTGCCAGTGGAAAAAATGGTATTGCCGTCATAATGGTGAATGCTTGCAAATGCTCAACTTAAAAAAAAGCATCACTGGCTCAATAAAAATCTAAGCAGAACAAAAGTCACGTACAACAAGTGCATGAAACAAGTGGTGATATCTGTCGGAGGGATGCAACCGTAAAACACAGCAAAATCTATACTGTATAAGACAACTATTGCATATAGACCAAGTTCGATATGATTAAATATAGAGGTGGATAACAGCAGGCTAGTGTGTGCTCTTGAAAATCTGAGCTTGATAATGAAAAGTAGCAGAGCAATGTGCCTAAAGAAGATCTTTTTTTTTAATCCGAGTGTATTACCTAGTATGTAACTATGACATGGATCGGAAAAAAGAAGCATGCAGAGGTATTTGCTTGGAATTATATTGAGAAACAAAATTAGGAGCACTTGGATTAGAGAACATACTACTGGACTGACCGACCCCGACTGGACATATGTGAAAAAGAGCTCTGTAGCTCAACGGATTCCAATCGACCGTAAGAAAAATGGGGGCTTGGGCAGAACACGTCGTTAAAAGAGATGATGGTCAGTGGTCAAGACTAATAATGGTGTGGCAGCCAAAGGAGAGAAACTTGCCCAGGCGTACGTCTACCGCGGAGATGGAGTTATTAAATCAGCTTGTGTGCAGATGGTCGATGCAATGTTACGTCGCAGGATCATGAGAGAGGGTGACATCTTGAGCAAGCCATCCTGAAGCAGTAGGTTGGTCTTGGCTAATGCTGATGATGTAGAGTGTTTAATTAACCAGTTATTAGGCATATAGCAATCCCTTGATTATTTAGGAATTCTTAAGTTTACTACACACGCGTCAAATCCTTTGTGCAAAATAACACATGATTTTTACTAACTTATGCTGTATAAATTGAGTTCGTGTATGTATGTTGAACTTCTTCCACACCGTGCATAGAAAACTATGCTAACCTGAGGCAGAAAACAACAAACTAAACACCCCTGCAGCCAAAAGAGGCGTAATATTCACCTCCAAAAAGCACAAAAATAAAATAGTATATGATCGAATCGCGACCAATGAAATGTGACAATTCATTGAAATGCAAGGGGAGAAGAACGTCGTTACGTGCCTCACAAGTAGCACAATGCAATGTTGATTTAAACAATGCAGAGAAACGGTGGGTGTATTCATATGATAGAGAAACGCCGTTGGTCATACACACGCAGAGGGAAAGAGCAAGTTGTTTAGCATAGCTTTGGATAAGGGAAAAGTCGACTGTGGATTTGTGTGGATACATTGTGACCAGGGGGTGAAGAATGTCAACATCAGATGCAATGGTGGCGCAACGTTTCACTTTACTATATATAGCATTAGCGTGGCAAATAAACGCAAGGCCGCATTGTATTTACACGCACTATGCAGTGAGTTTATACTCTAGCATCTGTTTGTAATTTGTTTTTGCCGAATACTTAACGATGGTATGCTGAACTGCAAATTACACAACAAAAATCCCACACAGGTCAACTTGGACGTACGGAAACACACCGATGTAGACATGACGAAACTGGGCGCAAGACATATGCATACACAATGCGTAGAAAAGACAATGGAAACCTGTACTAAATGACCACGTGTTAATCGACAACAATGGTTAAGTAGTGCTTCATATGGAATTATTTCAAGACAGGCCATAGCAAATTAAGGTTTAGACCGTTAGTGGTTACACGAGAGCCTTATAGATCTGGGCACATACCAAGAACTTGCCATAAGCTCGTTCCGTTTCTAGAAAGGTCATAGCTCATGTAAATGTACTCTTTGTCCTCCACTGTGGAGAGAGCAAGGGATTAAATGAGTGCAAACATCTGCGAGTTTTGCTTTACACACCAGGCTTCAAACGTAAAACAGGAGTAGCAGAGATAATTCCGTAAATTGAGAAACATCTTTTTAGGCAGTAAAACATTATAACTATTAATCAAAAAGTATATAATTATATAACTTTAATTATATCACTCTCTCTCTCTCTTTATATATTTGTACATAAGATAATGCTTACATTTAATTTGTTAATATCACACATTAAATACACTCATCGTTTACAAAATAGCTTGATGACACGCATATTGTCAGACGGATACGAGGGGTGTGACAATGCATTGATTCATATCGATTATTTAATGCTTGCGATGTTTTTTTGTTACATTTTTGGCCATACATCATAGTTTAACACGTAGGCTTTGCCCGATGATGCTGGATGCAATTACCAGCGAAACGTCGTACTCAAATTGTAAATGTTGTGGCTTCACGCTTCAACACACCGGTGGGCTAAAGCAGTGAACTATTTGTCTTTTGTCAACGTGACACTTTTTTACTGATTGGCCGTGTCGGGTGGTGGAGGGTTACGACACATTTATAAATAACGCGATCTAAACCCAAAAACGTTGATTATGACCATACACCATACTTCGCTGCCGTGACAAATGTAGCCACTGGAGGCGCAACCATGCATTGAGATGTTGAAACCACATTTTTTTTTATAAATAGCCATAATTAATTAATTTTTGCAATGAGTGGCAGGGGGTAAATCATCACACCTGTAATGTCATGCTATGAGACGCTCGTGAGGTATACGTATACTATGGGGACCTCATTTGCCAGTAAAAATATGATAATTGGTTCTTTACCCTTCTATCTGGCAACAAAACTGACACCTTTTTTGTTGCCAGATAGAAGGGTAAAGAACCAATTATCAGGTATACGTATGTTTGTTCAGTGCAAATTTGATGCCACAAAGCATAGCAGAAAGGCAAATAGAAATGATCCATCTATATTGTGCTTCAAATATATTTGTAATGACCAATTTAATAGGATAGAGTTTTATATGCAAAAAATATTGCGTATTTATGTGCTCTGTAAAAGTTTTAAACATTAAGCTAACACCGACTTAATAACTTAAATTATCTGTTTGTTTTCATAATGAAATGAGCCACAATGGGCCCAACTTGCAAGCGTAGTACACGGACAACAATACATTTTTGTGGATACGTTGGCTTTAATACAAAATGACAGCAAATGTCCCATTAAAAACATTGCTAAAGCAACAGTGGAATCCAGAGCAATACAAATTCCGCACACACTGCACTCTGGTCATATTGTAGAGTTAGCAGATTGCAGAAATTTTTCCCTTCACCAAATTATTGTTTTAAAAGCAGAGGCAATGTTTTTGCAGGTGGGTACACTAATTTGGCAGTCACCCACACACATATCCTCTTGGCTGCCATTTTACAAATCGTGTAAGTCTATCGTGGCCACTTATCTATAGTGCTTGAAGAATCTATCGGAAATGAGACCTTGTACGTTACCATCTGGAGGCTGCAGCTTGCTCATCAACGCCACCACGACCGTCTTCTTCTCCTTGGTAGCTCCGCTCAGATGCTCTTTGTCGAGCATTACCAGCAGGGATCTTATCTCTGGCAACAGTTCTTCCAGCACTGAAAAAAGAAACAACGTGATGTAAATTGTCATTTAAGAAGCGCAAAACCATGCTAAATATCATATCTAATGCCCTTTGCTCTCTGGTCACAGAGTGTGTTCATTAAATTAAGGTATCTCCTCAAGTAGTTGAACGCAAGCTGTTTGTTCTTGCGTTTGTTGGGTAGAGAATTCCATGCCACAGCCCCCCCCCCGCCACCTTCTGAAAAGTACGCTCGGTGTGCCTCTCTTTAAGCGGGGTTCGTGAGACCACCGCGGACAGCGGTGTTGTCGTTTCCGATTAATTACTGGCGACAGGCGTGCACAACTCCGACAAACACTGAGGTGCCATGCCGCGTAGACACTTATACAGTACATAGTCAGCCAGAGATAATTATTCTTTAAATGCTGTGGAACCGGCAGACAATCATACACGCATGATATTCCGGAGTCTGTGATCGTATTGTCTCGTGCCAATGAGTAATCCGGCTGTTGCATTCAAGAGAACGCCGATGATTGATTCAGCGTGTCCCGAAAGCGATTGGGGAATGGGAAAATATCGGCGTCGAAAATAATCCAAGGCAAGGTGATTCCTACTCCAGTGAGCATTTACAGCCCTGAGCCAGTGGAGGAGATTCCACATCCCTGTTGACTTCCCCAGAAAGTGGCACTTGTTTTTAAATCCTTTATATTAAGTTCACTTGCTTGCTTGCTTGCGCGCTTACGACCGTGCAAATATTTCGGTCGTTTTTTAACCCACTTCCCGTGATCCAATCGAGCTGACATTTTGCACACAGACTCGTTGTGCGTGACAATTAATTTTCGTGAAATTTTTCTAATTTTTTTTTACACTTTTTAAGAATGTTTTATTTATTTAATTACCAATTGCTTAATGGTGGCAGGCAATCATCTGACTCATAGGTGGCAGCCATCTCAAGCCAGAGGACGAGAGGACTCTAGCCGCCCGTTTCAAAGACCAATGTGGGCTGGGTTGTGGTCCATTGAACATGCATATAAAGGATTTAGTGAAAAACTTTGTTTTTACGGGTAAATTTTTTATCGATTCCAGGAGGGATGATGGGTCAAGTCAACCCCCACCCCCCAATGAGGATATGAACTCGCCCTTTCCAATTGTGAGCCAGTCACTCGGCAAGGGGAAAGCTTATGAATGAATGAATGACGAAATACAGCAACACATTTTATATTCATATGAAATCCAAAACATCTCTTCATTCTTGACATTATATTTCACGAGCAAGATATCAAACGAGGCTCTATGCACTCAGAGAAGCATTTGTGAAACTTCTCCAAACCCCTCCTCGTCCCATCTTCTCTCAACACACACCGTCAATTCCTTTTGCACAAAGTCCCTTGTTAACTGTATTTTCAAGGGCTCACAAATTCCCATCAGCAGCACAGGTTGGAGGTAAATCTTTCGGGGTGACTTACAGCTACCACTTAGCCACACTACACAGACTCCACTGATGCGAAAACCAATCTTTAACTCCAAGTCCAGATTGAAATGGGTGCTGTACATCCACCACACAGGTTAGTCTATAGATAGTAAATAAGCTGTTTAACAAAACATTCCAAATTGTATTGGTGGTTTGGATGCGTTGTGATTTGCGCATTGCTATCTAAAGCTGGCAACCTGAATTTGATTCCAGCTCATGGCTAAGAGCAGCGAATGATATCTGAACCAGTCCTGGGCATCACCAACCCTCCATTAACCAGTGCGGTGAGGAATGGTCAAACAACCCCCACACTAAAAGAGGAATGGCTATGCCTTCCTCCAGCAGTAGATTGATATAATATAACGGGCTGTACATTATTATCGTCATTCTAGTGCCAAAGCTTATACAGTAGAGAGGAGGAAAGCAATACAAACAAATATGAACGTTTTTATGCATTTCAAATACGAGTTGATATATCGTGCGATTTTACGGATTGAATGAATCACTTTCCACGGCTATCCTATTGAAAGGATTGCTTGTTATTTTCCCGTAATGTGCAGCCGTGCAAAGGGAGGAGTGGGCTGTTGGAAAGGCATGGGGGGCTGGGAGGGAAAAGAGGGAGCAGTGTGTGTGTGTGCGCTGGGGTCCACTGCTGCACAGGAAGGAAACCACGGGCCCTCCGCCCAAAACGTAAACAAGACCTCCATTTAACAATAACCTTGAAAGTCTCCAACTCAATTCCGCTAAAACCTAGCATGCAAGGACGTATATCAACGTCGTCTTTTGACGAACTTGATTGAAGACGAGGAACAACACACACACGCACACATTGCACAAAAGGTATCTGCTTTCTAATAAATGGCTGGATGTTGAAAATCACGAAAGTATTCCTTTAATAAATATGATTGCCATGCTCAGCAAGTTTGCCCAGCCCGACATAGCAAAGCAAAACAGAAGCTGACCTGCGGAGTTCCCATGAAGCACCCAGGGAAATAAACGTCACAAATGGGAAGCTCCACGATTTTGAAAATAAATTTCGGACAATCTTAATTTGGAGCTTTCGTGACTGCAGGAATTACTCTTTGGTTCTTTCGGTAAAGTCACGTATAAAGATAAAATAATAAATTAAATAATAGCATACTACGACGTTTCGATTGCAACACAAGCAATCATCTTCAGGTATAAATGAAATAGCAACAAAAATCTAACCAGAAAACTATAGACATATATATAAGCAGACAGATATCACCAAGATATGTGTTGCTCTCTCTCTCTATGTATCTTGGTGATATCTGTCTGCTTATATGTCTGTCTATTGTTTTCTGGTTAGATTTTTGTTGCTATTTCATTTATACCTGATGATTGCTTGTGTTGCAATCGAAACGTCGTATGCTATTATTTAATTTATTACTTTATCTTTATACGTGACTTTACCGAAAGAACCAAAGAGAAATTTCGGACACTTTAAAGATGTGCGTAATCATTAGCATAATCAGGATATGGATTGTTTAACTTTTGCATAGCATGTCACCCGATTAGGATTGTAATTTAGATATATATTGATAAAGGAGACATTTTCATGAAATACATCGGTGTTTGGATGTATTTGGACTAATTGACTTTTTCACTCATATTGGTTCATTTAGGTGCGTGTAAGTGTCAAACTGTTCACTTATTCCACACATAGGCTGCATTTTCTAAGACTCAGCTTAATTAATACACCTTCAAAATTACATCCATATGTATTATAAGTGTGGTTTTGAAATTTGCACTGTGAGAATTCCTACATTTATTTTGTAACTGCCCCTGAAGTAGCAACTTCATAATGACCAAATATAGCAGTTGTGTTTGTTAATCAGAAGCTGGAATGATAAACAAACAAATCTGGATAAGTCATTAGAGTAAAGTAATTTCTGTCCGTGCAATTAAAATTATGCATTTCATTTTATTCTAACTTTAAAAGAGAAATCATGAAACACTTAAACCAATGTTTATTTAATCAAAACATAGTCCACTTAGTGAAAGCACAAGGACTCATAACTCAGGGTCCCCTTGAGTTTAGCCTGCACAGGATTTTGATTGTAAGGAGATAAGGAAATGTGGTCACAGACGGTGTACTTTATAAGTATAGCGATCTTTTGCCTCTCATAAAAATGTATCCTGGGTGGATAACTGGATTTTTTTTGTATTTCATGTGCAATGATTTTAAATTGAACAATGATTTTCAACAGAATGCTCAATTTATTATATTAATTAGCAACTCTGCTTTAGTTCAAGACAAAGCCTTCCTTATAAAAAGCATGTCAGCTAACTCATTTTGGTCTCTGCAAGTCGGTACCACTTTACCCCGAGTGAAACATGAGTTGGTGATCAAAGCTGCCTTTGGCGTTGCAGGAATTCTTCTTGAAATACGACAAATTGAGTGAGGAGGATCGCAGTTAAAAAGCAGCCGCCAGACCATGTCCAATGAGGTTATATACGGACAGTCTGTCAAGGTCCTGGTGCACAAACACCAGAACAGACTGGCGCTCAAACCAAGCCTGCTCTGCACAAGGCAAGGAACACTGAAATATGGTTATGAACCACTGATCACCATAGAAGCCAACCAGGGTCGTAATCTGTCTGGGAGGTCCATGCAGTCCAGTTTTTTTCCCCAGCACAATTTGACGCTTGGTTTTGTGTCCCAATTGTTCGAGTCAGCATTTTCACTGTTTCTTCATCTCCTCCTCGGTGATCACACTGCATGTTAAATGGACCGTGGTGGGTTACTCCCTAATGGCCTGGGAAAGTTACATTGAGCCACACTGACAGGTAGATACCATATGATTAACACAATTAAGTTGTATTTTGCAAACAAATGACTAAGTGCAAAATTGAGATGTTGCTATCTTCATAAACCTACGTATATACAGATCAGCGGTGGAATGGTTAGTGCACTGCCCAATGAACCGAGTGACTAAAGTTCGAAATTATGGCCATGGTTGACATCAAGTGATGAGTGATATCTGAACCGGTCTTGGGTTCCTCCTTTAGTAACTCGCCGCGGTGGTGAGATATTAACTACATCGCATGGTATGCAGGAGGTAGTGGGTTCAATCCTGATCCTGACGCCTGTATATTTGGAGTGTGTGTGTTATTTTCGTGGTCGCATGGATTTTTGTCGGGGTCCTCCAGGTTTTGCCCTCCAGCATTTAGAATCAACATGCGTTTAAAACATTTGGCTGCTATACATTTCCACATGATCAGCCACTTCGTTGAGCTATCATGTCGCCAGATTGCTTCTGAAAAAGAGTGATGTAGTTCAGCGGGCCTTCCCTGGTAAAATAAAAAATAGTTAGTAGTTAGTTCGTGGTGGAGAAAGGCAAATGATGGCCAACACGGCATGGCAGGTTTTATTTGGCATAAGTAGATTGTCAATGGGCTACAAATTAATTATTGTTGTTCTTATGATTATTATTGCACATATGTACAAGCATAGTGACACAAAGTTCGTTACAGTAATTGTACATGACAACATGCGTTTAATTCTTCAATAAAAAACATGTGATATGGCGACACAAGACATC